CTCTCGTGCACAACGGTGAAGGGCAGCTTCTCCTGATCGTCCAGCGGCACTGACTCTCCGGTAAACACGACACTGACAGGCACCATGAGCCGGAGCTGCGGGAAGGCGCATCAGGGCCATCGCCTGAGTCTGAGCCTGGCCGAGGAGCCGTCCCCTAACCCTCCCGCGTCCAAGGTCTCACCTGCAGGGCGTTCAGCCCGCTGATCTCGGAATAGGGCAGCGAGGCCCGGTAGGTCTCCGTGGTCTTCCACCAGAGCGGCAGCCCCAGCAGGATGGCCACGGCAGCAAAGAAGAGGGCGGCGCGCTTGCCTCGGACCACCTCTGGAGGGAAGGAGGTACGGAGGCACAGACTGAGACGCCAGAGGTGGGCGCAGGTGCCAGCCCCGCCCCTGACGCGGAGCCCGGCCACCCGGCGGCAGAGGCTCTCGGCCCTCGTTCATAGGGATCCCCGGACGACACGCCCGGGCCCAAGGCTGAAGGGATCACGTCTGAAACGGCCCCCCGAACCCCGCCTGCTGGACCTGCGGCGCCCCACGACCCCCACCCCCTCGTTCCTCCCTCCCAGTCCGTGAATCGCAGGCCTCAATCCGTGCACCACTGCACCTAAGTCTGTAGCTGCGGCCCCGGCGGCCGCCATGCTGGTTCCCGAGGGCTCTAGCCGGGGGGCGGGGCAGCGCAAGCCTCCTCCAATCGGAAACCAGCGAGGGGGCGGGACAACGGCAGCGATTGTGGCCAATCGCGAGAGACACTCCAGTCGCAAAGGCGGAAGAAATCCGGCGAGCTGTGAGCGGGGTTCACCAGGGGTTTAGAGTGCAAACCCTGCAGTCCTTAACTACTAATCTGGGTGACAACGGGCAGCTCTTTTAATCCGGAAAAAAAAAATTTTTTTGAGATATTTACCAAAATGAGGTCATTCATGTAAAGAACTTCCGTTCGAATGTCACCTATATCGTCATTATTGTTTATGATCTCTTTCATGGAACTCCTCTTCCAGGCACCCTCTCAAGCCTCAAACCTGGAGGTGGCGAGCTAGCAGGTTCGCAGTATCTTTTTAGCGATTTGGCTCATTCGGTACCTCTTTAAGAATTTTTGATTGATTGATTTTTAGAGAGAGAGCAGGGAGAGCGGAGAGAAGCACCAATTTGTTCCACTTATGCATTTATTGGTGGTGGTTGTTGTTGTTTTTTTAAAAAAAGAGATCTTTGATTGATTTTTAGAATGAGGAAGGGAGAAGGAGAGTGAAACATCCTTCTGGGGAACCAATGCGGCATTCCAAGCTTTGGCTGGGATAGGATAACACTCAACTAACTGAGCCACACCGGCCAGGGATGGTTGACTCATATATGCGTCAACCTTGGCGTATTAGGAGGATGCTTTATCTAACTGAGCTACCTCGAGGGCACTCATTATATATATATATATATATATATATATATATATATATATATATATATATATATATATATATATATATCTCAAAGGTGGAGATTTATTGAAGAACAAGTACAGACTCCCACTTAGGGAGGAAAAAGAGTCCCACAGAACGGACTCCCAGGTGGGGAGGGGGAGAAGGGTTCCCCAGTATTTTTTTTTATATTTGTATTGATTTCCAAGAGGAAGGGAGATGAAGAGGGATAGAAACATCAATGATGAGAAAGAATCATTGATTGGCTGCCTCCTGCACGCCCCCTACTGGAGATCGAGCTCACAACCCAGGCATGTGCTCTTGCCTGGAATGGAACCTGGGACCCTTCAGTATGCAGGCTGAGGCTCTACTGAGCCAAAACAGCTAGCGCTCATTCAGTATTTTTATTTCATTCAGTATTTTTTTAACTTATTTTAATTCACTTCTCACTTATAAAAGTTTGACTTCACTTAAAATTCACCAGCATAAAATCTGTGATTACTTGGGTTCTAATTCTGGCCTTCACCTCTTCACCTGAGTGATCTTGAGACATTAAGCACTCTGTGCCTTTTTTCTTGTTAAAATTGGGATAAATTATAAATATTAAAATAAAATAGGGATAACTCTGGCATGTGTGCTCAATGGTTAGAGCATCTGTTTGTGCACTGAAGGCTTGTGGCTTCAGTTCTGGTCAAGAGCACCTACCTGGGTTGCAGGTTCCATCCTTTCCCAGAGCCCGGGGGGGGGGGGGGGGGGGGGAAGGTCGTGTGTATGGGAGGCAACCAATGATGTGTCTCTCTCACATCCATGTTTCTCTCTCTGCCCTTCCCTCCCTCCCTTCCACTCTCTCTTAAAAAAATATATCAATGGAAAAAATATCAGGTGAGGATCAACAAAAATTAAATAAAATATTGTAATAGTATCTACAGTACTTTATTTTATATATATATATATATATATATTATTGATTTTTTACAGAGAGAGGGATAGTTAGAAACATCAATGAGAGAGAATCATCAATCAGCTGCCTCCTGCACATCCCACAACCAAGGTACATGCCCTCGACCGGAATCAAACCTGGGACCCTTCAGTCCACAGGCCAACACTCTATCAATTGAGCCAAACCGGTTTCGGCATAGTAACTACTTTATATAGAGTTATATGTTGTAGTAAATGAGTTAGTAAACATAAAATGATTAGAATGAACAGGCCCTAAATTTTAAAATAGAAAGTACTATATAAATATTAGTTGTTTGTTTTTGTTAATCCTCAGCTGAGGATATTTTTTTTCCATTGATTTTTTTTCTTTTTTTTAGAGTGGAAGGGAAGGAGGGAAAGGGAGAGAAACATAATGTGAGACACACATAAGTTACCTCCCTCACACACCCCTGCCCTCTGAGGCAGAGATCGAACCTGCAATCCAGTGCCCTTGACTGGGAACTGAACCCCCAGCCCTTCAGTGCTCAGACTGATGCTCTGACCACTAAGACACACAGGCCAGGGTAATAGTAGCTATTTTTGTTAATATAAGGTCAGGTCACACTAGGCCTACATGCCTATTCTGTAAGGGTATATGTAGCATTGGTTGCGCACTTTACACATACTATGGCCTCCCAGTTCACACAGAACATATCTAGCAGCTTCTTTCATTTTTTAAAAAATATTTTATTGATTTTGTACAGAGAGGAAGGGAGAGAGATAGAGTTAGAAACATCGATGCAAGAGAGTCATCGATCAGCTGCCTCCTGCACACCCCCTGCTGGGGATGTGCCCACAACCAAGGTACATGCCCTTGACCAGAATCGAACCTGGGACCTTTCAGTGCCCAAGCCAACGCTCGATCCATTGAGCCAAACCGGCAGCTTCTTTCATTTTTATCTGCCCAGATAGACCTAGGTCTTTGGCCTACCCCCACATCCCAGCCAAATGGTCAAAGTTCATCATGAGAACACAGGTCTGCCCTTGCCCAGATCCTCAAATGGGTCCCCTCTGTGCCCCATCTACCCCAAATGGGAGTGGAAATAGCCCTTGGCAACCTCCTAGATACCATTCTCAGTTTGGCATTCCCAAGCCTTGGGGTTCTCCCTTGTTGGGCAGGAGCCCAGGTGCTCCTCCGGCAGTGGCTCCCCCTAAAAGAATATGTCAAGTCCTGGCAGGGCTCAACACAGCTGAGAAGTGAGACTCCATCCCTTCCTGTCCCAGTTTGGGGCCTTGCACAAAAGCTGCCTTCAGGAATGGCTCAGGTGCTGCTACTGCGGGAGCCTAGTGCTTCTGATATGGTAGTTCCTGAGAGACTTGCAGCCCTCCATACTGCCATGCTCTAGCCTTGGAGAGCAACAGGCAAGAGCCTGAGATGGGAATGGTGGCTGGGTGTACCTCTCCCCATAAACTTAAAACCCAGTGAATCAAAACCCATCCTCTTCACCTCCACAGTCAGAGGGCCCACAGACAGAGTCAGCAGAGATCAGAAACTGAGAGGTGGGGATCTGATGTGTAAAACAGACAGACAAAGTAGCATGTTATGCTATCATTTATTTGCTATGTGGTATGTACCCAAAGCATAAGTCAGGTCCGGAGTCCTAACCTCTGATCCCAGGAGAAAAGGCAGGCAAGGAGAGCCCAAGGAGAAGCTACTCCATCAAGGGGAAGAGTATCTGGCAAAGGCAAGGAGAGACCCGGGCATCCTGCTCTGACTTCTAGCAAGTTCTCCTGCCCTCAGCCATGAGAGGCTCCCTATCTTCCCATCTAATGGTCCCGGTGAAGCAATGGGAGAGGGAAGGGGAAGAGAAAAAAAGGAAGATGACTCATTGCTGGATGGAGGCATCTTTGCTCTGCAAAGCTATTTGGCCCTGGCTGTAACTACAGGCAAATTGGGTGGCTGGGCCAAGCGCTGTGGAATGGAGTGCTCAGTAGGCATGGTTTGCAATGTAGAGGGACTGTGCTGCCGCTCCTCCATCGTCTCCAGTGCCTTCATACTTGCCCTGGGCTGCAAGCCCATTCACCTGCAAAAGTGAGAGGAGGTAAGGCATGAGCTGACTGAGCCAGCCCACAGGTGCCAAAGGCTGTAGTCTCTGGGTGCTACCCCCTGCCTAGCTACACACCACTACCCCCAAACCAAACACCACTCCTAGCTCCCAACCTCAGCCCGCTTGATGAACTCCTCGGTGGCAGCCCCAGCATTGTCCCGTTGCCCTCGCCAGGCATTGAGTGCAGAGGCCTGCAGGGCACGCCCATAGGAGAAGGTGAGGGCCCAGGGCCTCGGAAGCGGGCAGCGGTTGATAGCATTGAGATTGAGCGAGGCCTCCTCTTCACTCTGACCCCCAGATAGGAAGGTCACTCCTAGAGAGAAAAAGAGGAGACAAACTGATTAGTCACTCCCTGTTTTTCCAGGGTAAGGGACCCCTGAAGGCCACAAGAACCTGAGGATCGGTCTAAGGACAGGAGTCCGTTAGGAAGCTGGGTGGTACCTGGGACAGCTGGAGGCACAGTGCGGCGCAGGGCAGTGACAGTTGCCATGGCAACCTCCTCTGGGCTGTACTTGATAGGACAGGCATGGCCAGGGGTCACCATGTTGGGCTTCAACAGGGTCCCTTCCAGGTACACATGATGGTCACTCAGAGCCTTATACACAGCAGCCAGGACCTGAGGATCAGAGGAGGTTTACTAAGGTCTGATCCCTGCCTGGTTTTTTGTTGTTTTTGTTTTTTTAATTGATTTTTTACAGAGAGGAAGGGAGAGGGACAGAGAGTTAGGAACATCGATGAGAGAAAAACAGCGAGCAGCTGCCCCCCGCACACCCCCCACCGGGGTTGTGCCCGCAACCAAGGTACATGCCCTTGACCGGAATCGAACCCGGGACCCCTCAGTCCGCAGGCTGATCCTCTATCCACTGAGCCAAACTGGTCAGGGCTGATTCCTGCCTCTTTAACTGCTCTATGTTCTCTGACTAGAGGTGGGTGGGCATGACTGTGAGGGTCAGTACAGGCTCAGACTCACAGGTCTGTTCTAGGATTAAAAAAATAAAAGTGCTGCTCAGTTTGACAACAAGGAGAGTAATTGAAAGTGGCTAGAATATCAGATTTTTGTCTACTTTCCATATTCCTAAGAAAAGTAATTCCTATCCTAGAAGCTGAAACCTTGGTATTCTTGCAGGCTGGAAGGTGGTGATGGAAAAAAAATAAAAAAAAATAAAAAAGAGCCAAGACCGGTTTGGCTCAGTGGATAGAGCGTCGGCTTGGGGACTGAAAGGTCCTGGGTTCGATTCCGGTCAAGGGCATGTACCTTGGTTGCGGGCATATCCCCAGTAGGGGGTGTGCAAGAGGCAGCTGATCGATGTCTAGCTCTCATTGATGTTTCTAGCTCTTTATCTCTCTCCCTTCCTCTCTGTACAAAATCAATAAAATATATTTTTAAAAAATTAAAAAAGAAAAATTAGAGTAAATTTACTCAAATAAGAAAACTAATAAAAATTATCAAACGGGGGAAAAAAGTGCTTGGGGAATGTGCCTGCATCTGAGCCAGGAACTGGGAACAAGCTCCCTGTCAGGCTGTCGCTGTGGTATGTGTCTGTGCCAGGTGTGGACTCACCTTCTCGGTGACATACTGGCAACGTTTGAGGTCATGGTCTCCATCAGGCAGGATTTCAGGTTCCACAATAGGCACAATGCCATTCTGCAGGTGAGAGAGGAGTAACTTGGCAGGGGTGGTACTAGGATGGGAGAAAGTTCTCTCTCCACCAGGCATAGGGCACCCATCCGAACCCCTCACGCATGCATACACACACCTGCTGGCAGATGCTGGCATAGCGGGCCAGCACATTGGCATTCTCCAGAATGGCAAGGGCTGAGGGCGTGCGTTCACTGATTTTCAGCACACAGCGCCACTTGGCAAAGTCGGCGCCATCCTTCTTGTATTGGGCACAGCGTTCTGAGAGCCCATCCAGCCCTGTGGGCATAGTGCTGGTCTCATCACTCTGCCCCTTTTTGCCAACATCCATCACCCACCAACTCTGTGGTCCTAACGCCCACCCAGCCTGTACCTTGAGTGGTAGTTTCTCCATCAGTCCCAGCTAGAGGGACCACACCTTTGTCCACCTGAAGGGAAAACAAAGGCAGAAGGCTGAACCCAGGCAGGATTCCCCTTGATACTCCTCACACACACACACCTATTTCCATGCTCCATCCCCCAGGGCTAGTGGCTGCACCTTGATGCCAACGACAATGCCCTTATCCTGGATGGTACGGACGAAGGGGACACCATTGTCATCTTTCTGGTAAAGTGTCTCGTGAAAGAAGATGACACCTCCAATGCACTTCTTCACTCGGTCATCGGCGCTGAACAGGACCTGGCGGTACAAGCGGCGGTTCTCCTCTGTGTTCTCCACCCCGATTTGGCTCAGCCGCTTAGCCATGCTGCCTGGGGGCAAACGAAGAGGGGTGACAAGGTCATTCATTCCCCGGCCACCTCTGCCCTAACCAACCACAGGCCCCCCACCTACCTACAGACTCATCTGCAGCCAGGATGCCTTTGCCTGGGGCCACAATCCGGAGGGCGATGTCAGACAACTCCTTTTTCTGCTCAGCAGAAAGGGCTGGATATGAATGGGGCATGGTGACAGCTCTGTGGAACGGAGACAAGATATAAACGCTGGACCCCACCCACTATCTCCTCTGCTTCCTTTCCTGGTCATGTGGGCCAAAGGGCCCTCCCCACTGCTCCCCGGTAAGCATAGGGCTGGGAAAAGAGTAGCAGTCCTTGGCATGGGTCCTGGGCATCAAAGTGGCACCAATTTATCTGACAGCTAGCAGGCTTAGGGGCCCAGTTCCCACATCTCCTTTTGTCTCTGATGGGCACCCTTCCCAGCCCCAGGAAAAGATGCAGGGTGGGGGTGGGGAGTTCAGTCGCCCTCAAGCTACAGGTCTTCTTATGAAACTACTGCCCAAATGAAAATGCCAATCCTTCTCTCGTTGAATTTGGCCCCTTCTTCAGGTAGGTATAAGCCCTGACCTTTCCAACTTCCCTTTTCTGGTCCTCAGCAGGGCCCTAGGGAAAGTGCACTTTCTTCCAAGCCATCACAGTGAGGCAAAAGGACACATCACCCTCTTTCCCGGGCTAGTGGAGGAAAAGGTTGGGAGGAGGGGCGCAGGTAGGGAGTAGGAATGGCAGGCTTCTCTAACCAGTTTTCCATACCCCAAACCTGATGTCTCCGCAGTTAGGAGATGAAAGCAGCGGGCTGAGATGGAAAGGAATGAGTAATGAGGCTGAGAAAGGGAGGGAAAGATGCAGGAGGAGAAAGCAGATTTGTTGGATGGTGATAGTGAGGCAGGCTAACTAGTTAGGAGGAAGGACCTAGATCAGAGGAACAGAGAAAGCAAAAGAACTGTACAGAGGGACCTTAGTGGAGGAGAGGGAACAGATGAGATTAAAATGGTCTTGTTGGAAGAGGCTGACCCCAAGAAAAACCCCAGTAGGCAGAAGATTTGGGACTGGAAAAGCTGAGGTAACAGCATGAGCGCTGAGAGGAAGGAGTGTTGTGGGAGGTCTGAATCATGGGGTGTAGAGTGGGCAGAAAGGAGAAAGATTGAAGGAGAGAGCTGAGATGGCACATCCAAGGGCACAGGGAGCAGAGCAAAGATGGAAGGGGGAGCGTCAGGAAGAGGAGGCTGAGACGCTGAGCAGTTCCCGCCTCACCCGGGCCTCACCTGTGAGCAGCGAGTTAAGTGGCGGCAGCACAGAACAGCCTGGGTTCAGGTCTGAAACAGCCGTGGCTTCTTCAGCCCTGGCTCCTGTAAATGAGGCTGAGGATGCCGCAGAGCTACGTGACTCCCCGGGAGGCGGGGCCATCACCGCCCCACGCGGGCCACGCCCCTCACTAGGACTGGTGTCCTGGCAAGGCCACGCCCACAGAGGCGGGGCAACGAGGTGGAGTGACTACCCTGCCAAGAGCTCGGAGGCTGTGGTGGGCTGTCCTCCTCCCACCTCGTGGAGCCCTGCCATGGGGGCCCCCAGAGGCAGGAAATGGCCTTGCCCTCATTTCTGTCACAATTGCCTTTACCATGTGCTGGGCACTGCACTGGATGTTGAGGAGGACTAAGCCTGGTCTAATGAAGGAGAGTCACCTAAACAGTCACAACAGGTAGCAGGGCAGAGGCACCAACAAAGTGTGGGAGTCCTGGCAGAGTTTCTCCGTCCTCACCCCCTTATTCACCAGGGCCTACTGGAGAATGAAGCCTTGTCTACCCCCACCCCAAGCTGTGAGCCAGGGAACAAGCAGTCCAGTCAGTGCCCAGCATGTTTAGGGAAGCCAGAGAAGGGAGGAGGGGCAGCCGATTTTGGCCCGGGATGCAGCAGAAGGGGTGAGTGGAGGGCGCCCAGGCAGGAGTGCCAAGCTGCTTCTCCCCTGACTTTATCCACCCACTCTCATCCAAGAAACAAGATTCAGAGAGCTTGCGGGAATACATTAAATACACTTTATTTAAATAGCATTAAACCTAACTGGCTCCATGCCAATTGGTCCTGGTGTCGGGGTAGGGGAGTATTGCAGGTAAAGAGAAGTAAAACAGACTCCAGCTTTTAGTTTCTTAGCTCAGAAATTCCAGCAATTCCTGTAGCTCCTTACAACCCCTCACAACCTCTGGGATGGACAGCAGAGTCTGTGAAGAGACAGAAAAGGCAGTTCAGTCATAGCCCCAGGAAGCACCCACTGAGTTAGAGGGGAGAAAAAAGCCGCAGAGAAGCCTGCAACATTGCATTAGTTCAACTCCCTCCCTCTACCTCATAAATATGCTGAACAATGTCATCTAGTTTCTTTAATTCCTTGTCAGAGCGCCGAAGATTCTCCTCCAGAATGTTTCTCTGGAAAGCAAATTAAGTTGCATAAGTCCTACGCTTAAAAGAACAGCAAAGCTAGTGGGGCAAGGAAAATATGGCAGGGCTCCTGCTAGGTGTGGTGAGAAGTGAATTCCAATGGCATGGGAATTCTTACATGGCTCTGGAACTTGACCATGAGTTTTTCCTTCTCATTTTTCATCTCCAGGAACATCACCCTCAGTTTGTCCACCTGCAGAGATGGCCACATCAGTAGGGGCACAGCCTAGGGTTTCCACCAGCCACCCAGCTCCTCTGTTAATACAAACTCACCTCCTGGGAGAGCCACACTTTCTCCTGGATCCAGTTAGTGGCCATGGGCTGACAGTTGGGGTCCAGCTGGCCTGCCAGGGTCTCCTGGAGCACCTTGGTTTCTGTCTCCGCACGCCGAAGTGAGCGGGTAAGCTGGGTCACCTCCTCTCTAAGGCTCTGGGGATGAGAATGGAAAGGTGTATAGGTAGCCCTCAAAGGTCCTCTCCATCACTCCTATCCCATGCTGTGAAGAAGGTAGACCAGAGGATCCAATTCCCACATTTGGGATCCTGGCTACCAGTGGCACAGAAGGCCAGCATCAGGATGAACGTACTATGAGCTCGCCACTCTTGTCTATCTGCTCTAAAATCTTCTCATTCTGCTGCTGTATCACTTCCTGGAGCTCCTTTTCATTCTGTGAAGGGAAAGGAGGTAAGAAGGCGCTGAGAGAGCTGGCTTCCTTGTAGCCCTTGCCAGAAGATGGGGTTTAGTGCCTGACCCATGCTCAGCCCAGATTGTTACCAATTAAAAACACTTTTCTTCCTCTAGAGCTGAGTCAGCCAAGGCACATCTCAGTGTTGAGAGCGCTCTGCTAGAGCTCCTGACTTCTAGGTCGGCCTAGGAGATGGGTCAGCCCATAGCTAATTCCCAAACATGTGAAATGTCTGACCCCAGGAAGGGCAAAACTAGGGCAGTGGTTGGAAAATCCCCACCACCCAGATTCCCGGAGAGACCGTGGTTCCCAGTGGACCAGTACCGCTGCCCCAGTTCTTCATCGCTCCACTTCTAAGCCCCTCCTTTACCTTGTAGCGCAAGCACAAGGCCTGGTTCAGCTTCTCTATGTCCGCTTCCTTTGCCTTCTGGGCTTCCTCATGCTGTTCTTCTTGGGCCTGTACCCTTGCCTGTAAATCACAACTAGGGGAGAGAAGAATTCGGTATTATTCCTGTCCTCTTGAGGGCTAGCTGGGTCTTGATGTAAGGGGCTGACCTTCCTCACCAAGACTGCACTCCACTCACATCTTTCGCTGCAGAGTCCTGACAGCTTCTTCTTTAGATTCTTGCAGCAGGGAACACAGGCTCTGAAGCTCTAGAATCCTAGTATGCATTTCTTCCAGGCTCTTCTCCATGCCTGGGACCTCTGGAAGAGAAAGTCCTAGGTAGAGGTAGAGCCCTTGAGCTCTGAAAGGAAGGAATGGGTAGCCATTATTTCCGCAACTCTCACCCATAGGATTTGGTGTCCAGGACATCACAGGTCCCAAAAGACAGAAATGAAATGAGCCCAAGTAGAATTGAGGTTTTTAGAGCAAAGCACTTTTCACTGCTTTCGTCTTTACCATCACTACTTGATCTAGAAATGAGGCAGGATCCCTGGAGCCCATCCTAACCTGTAGGCTGAGGGGAAGCCATTGATGCAACTCGAGTGAAAGCACTCTTGTCACTTCCAAGCAAGGCCACAGGAGCTGGTTCTGGCTCTAAAACAAAAAACAACCATGGTATAGGGCCCGTCTGGTGATCCAGTCAAGAATCTGCCGCAGTAGAAGCCAGGGAGAGGTCTGTTGGTGGGCATCTTTAACAGCTGAAGATATCAGCAGGGTCATTGCCCCATCCCTAAATTCCAAAGCCTTTAACCTTTGTCTGCCATTGCTGTCAAGATGCTTCCCAAGAAGGTGCTGTCAGTGGACGGAGGGTGCTCCTGGGTAGAAGCACAGGCTGTGCTTTTCAGGAGGGTCTCTGGCTCAGCCTAAGGGCAAATCACAACAAAACATCAGCTACTTTTCAGGGTAGTGATTTTCCTGGACCATAGCCTCACACAGTCATTTACATACTGTCTATGGCTGCTCTTGAACTACAAAGGCAATGCTAAGTAGTTAAGGCAGAAACCACATGGCTGGCAAAGTTTAAAATATTTATTACATTTCACTTTATAGGAAAAGTTTGCCAACCCCAGTTCTGGAGAGTGTCATCATCTTTCCAACCATCTAGACATCATCATCCAATCTTCCACCTTATTCCTATATCAAATTGGTCACAAGGTTCTATTACTTCTACTTCCTAAGTACTGGATTCATCCAAACCACCCCTTCTCTCTACCCTGTCTATAACTGCCATTAGTTCAATCCTTCAAATCTGGCATCCTGCCTACTTTTGCAACCTTATCTCCTTGTCATTCTCACCCCCAAAACTCCTACACTCCAATTATAAAAAGCTACTTCCAAGTCCCCAAACTTGCCACATTCCATGCAAGTAGTGCCTTGCCTTGTTTACCTACAGTCCCAGCACCTCACCCAAATCTTGTTACAAGGTAAACACCACAAAAAAGTATGCATAGTGCCTCTATGACTTTCATATACTGTTCACTCTGCCTGGTGGGCCTTCCTATATACACACCCTTGACAAACTTCTAAGCCTTAACTGCCCAAGGGTCACCTGTTTTGAGAAGACATCCTAACTCTCAAAGTTAGAACTGATGTTCCTTTCTCTGTGCTCCCACAGTGATCATCCATTCAGACCTCCTTTATGATCACTGCTTGTCTTCCCTGCAAGACTATGGATTCTTTTGTATTTCCTGCATTCAGTACACAGTAGGGAAGAGGGTCAGATCAGAAGCACCTTCAGAGTTCAAGATTTTGGTTGTATCTTTAGCTATTGAGTAAGCTAATTAGCTCTGTATTCTGAAAGACGTTAACTCTTTATGGTTTAGAGTACACTGCAGGGAAGCCAAAGAAGTAATACTAAATTTCTGCTTTCTTTAAACACAATCTAGTTGAAGAGACCAGACATCCAAGGAAAATTAATACAAATGCAGGAGATCACTAAGTCTATGTGATGTGGGAACATTTCAAAGAAGGTGAACTAGAGCAGCAGTCACCAACCTTTCAGACCTCACGGACCACCAGGGGTCTGCGGACCACCGGCTGGCAACCACTGAACTAGAGAGTATTTTAATGGGAAAGCAAAAGGTATTTCCATTTTGAAGACAGAGAAGATGGATATGGTAACAGCCCAAGTCTAGGTGTGAATGGAGATGGGACATGTGTGTAGTGTATAGGATGTCTAGTCTAATTGGAACAAAAGGTTCCTAACAGGGAGGTAGGAGACACATAAATAAAAGTTTGAGTGACAGGTCAAAGAGATCCTGTAGCCGAATGAAAGTCACTGAAAGCCACAGAGATGGAACAAGGGTAGTGTTTTAGGAAAATCATTCTATACAATAAAGATACAACTGGAAAATCTCAGAAAGCTAGGAAAAGAGGGGAACTTCCTCAACTTGATAAAGAATATCTACATGCGCCAAAACCGGTTTGGCTCAGTGGATAGAGTGTTGGTCTGCGGACTGAAAGGTTTGATTTCGGTCAAGGGCATGTACATTGGTTGCGGGCACATCCCCGGTAGGGGGTGTGCAGGACGCAGCTGGTTGATGTTTCTCTCTCATCGATGTTTCTAGCTCTCTATCCCTCTGGCTTCCTCTCTGTGGAAAATCAATAAAATATATTTTAAAAAAAGAAAAAAAAAGAATATCTACATGCCTTAACTGGTTTGATCTCCAGTAGAGGGTGTGCAGGAAGCAGCCAATCTATATTTCTCTCATATCAGTGTTTCTATCTATCTCTCTCTCTCCCTTCCTCTCTCTCTCAAAACAATGAAAACATTAAAAAAAAAAAAAAAACTATCTACAAAAAACCTACACTAGCATCATACCTAATGGTAAGAAACTCAAAGCTTTCCCTTTAAAATCAGGTACAAAGCAAGGATGTCCCCTTTCACTCCTTTTCAACATCGTAGAGAAACTTCTAACTAATGCAGTAAGACAAGAAAAGGAAACAAGAAATATGCAGATTGGAAGAGGAGAAATGAAACCATCTTTATTCGGATATGATTGGAAGGGAAGAGAAGGACCCCCAGATGCTACCTTGTCCTTTAGTTTTGTGTGCAGGAAGCAAGTCAGGCTCTGTAGTTGCTCAGTCAGCACCCTTAGCTCTTGGGAATACTGGTGTGTCTTCTCCAGGTCTTTCTCCTGGGTCTCTGCTACGGTGCTAGCCAGTTTAGCCCTGAAATAAGGAAGGAACAGAAGACCATGTGACCTTCTCTGCACACCTCTCCCAAAGCCCACACAGAGGGAAGCAAAAAGGCTCCTGGACAATTCCATCCTTGGAGACTTAAGCTTCTAGAAGGGTTTTCTGGGAAAGATAAGCAATTACAGGAAAAGCACCAAAAGGTAGAGGTCTTACTTCAGGTTCTCTACGGTGTCCTTGAGGTCCTCACACTGCAGGCTGCGCTCCCGGAGCACTTCCAGTGTGCTTTTCAACTGGCACTCCACCTGGCCCAGCTCCAAATGAGCTACCTGGTTCTCTTGGTCTGCAAACTGGGGAGATGGGAGAAGGAAGAAAGGAAAGGAAGGAGCGAGAAAGAGAAGGGAGAAAATGAATCGAAGTGGGACTTATTAGAGCCCTTGAGACGAAAGCATTTTCTAGTCTCCAGTCTCAAACCTTACTTCAATACCATCAGGTAAGGGTCATACTCCTGCCAGTTCCCCTGCCCCAAGCTCTATTCCTTACCTCCAGAGTCTCCTTCAGGTCCTGCACCTCCTTAGCCAGGACAGCATGTTGTTGCTGCAGCTCTGCTTGTATGTGTTTTAGTGTCATCTCTTCCTTTTGCCATCTGCCAGAGACCTTATGTTAGATCCCACTGGCCCTAAACCCTGGGCCCCTACTGCCACAATAACCTGATAGGAACTCACTGAGTAGCCTGCTTCTCATTGCTCTGGGTAAGCTGGCAGAGCAACTCATCCTTCATGGCCAGGTCCTGGGTACAGTGGGCATGCTGACTCTGTAGCTCTTGTAGCTGACTCTGCATGCTGGCCAGAATCTGTAGCTGATCTCGGAGATCTAAACCAAAAGTATCCTAATCACGCCATGTGGTCACCAGGCCAGAACCTCCCCACTCTTGTGCTCTAACTAGAGCAATTTCTTGTTCTACTGCCACACCCCAAGCCTTAGCAGGGCACAAATGCTTGCATGCATGCATGCACACACACCTGTTGCTAGGCGACTATTTTCCAACTCCAGTTGCTCTATTTGGCCTTTGCAGTCCTCTAACTGGGCAGAGACTTGTTCCAGCTCCCTGGAAACCTAGGAAGAAAAGATCGTTTTCCTCCCACTGTTCTTCCAGAATTGAGTCCCAGGACTTGGTCCAGCTTCTCTTTCTGGACAGAACAGCTCCTGGGTAGCAACCCTGCAGCAAATGAGGCTGATCCTCAGGAAAAAATAGAAACAGGAGAAAAGTTGTTGAAGAAGATGCTGAAGGACAAAGGAAATTACTAGACCCAATGCCATCTTTCAGGGAAGGAACCTGGATAGTCTCCAAACCCACAGGGTAGAAAGCCCAGTGCAGAGTAAGAGGCTACTCATTAGAAAGGCCTTCTGTGGAGGAGGAGGAAACCAGGCCTAAGCAGTTGCCCTCCCTGGTTTATACCTGCTGCTTTTCCTCAACTGCAGCATCGCGTTCCTGTAGGGTCTGCCGGCTCTTGGCTGTGAGCTTCTCTGTGAGTTCTCGAGATCGGCTCAGCAAAGCTGTCCATGTTGTATACTACCAGGGGAAGCAAGCAGGTCAGTCAAGCACCCTTGAGGCAAGGTTCCTAACAGGGTTGGCTGTGAATAAAGTAGTGGTATGATGGTCCCAAATACTCACATCCTGTTGCATGGACGTCCAGTCCTGTTGCAAGACAGAGGTAAGACTTGCTGTCTCCTGAGCCATCTCTTCCTGCTCAGTATGAAGACCTACCTATACAAGAAGTGCCTATGGAGGGGATCTCTTCCTCTGGATACAACAAAGTGGGGGTAAATGACCAAGCTCCCGTGAATCAGCCTGGATCTCAATAAAGAAAATGCTGCCGAAACCGGTTTGGCTCAGTGGTAGAGCAGACTGAAAGGTCCCGGGTTCGATTCCGGTCAAAAGTATGTACCTTGGTTGCGGGCACATCCCCAGTAGGGGGTGTGCAAGAGGCAGATGGTCGATGTTTCTCTCTCATCGATGTTTCTAGCTATCTCTCTCCCTTCCTCTCTGTAAAAAATCAATAAAATATATTTTAAATAAATAAATAAAAAATAAAGAAAATGCACTCAAATTACCATTTGGGTCTGGGTCTCCTTCAAGAGTCCTCTGAATTCCCCCATGGATGCCAGGTTCTGTTGCAACTGGCTGATGCGTTGACTGGCATGTGCACAGAAAGCCTCTAGCACCAACTCTGCCTGTTTAGGGAACGGGTTGTGAGGATACGGTGGGCAGAGGAGGGAAACAGCACCCAAAGCCATGCTATCTGCCACATCAGTAGTTTAATTCATTATTCTCCAGGGCAGGCAATTGTCTCCAGTAAATTTGTGTTCCTGCAGGAACCCTGAGGAAAAAAATCATCCACTTCCAAGAACAAAAGCCTGACATCTTACCGCATCCTTGCCTCTGAGGGCCATTTCCTCTCCGCGCTTTGCCTCCTCCCTTTCTGTTTTGAGACTCTGGAGCCTTGCCCTCAATTTCTTCAGCACATCAAAACAGCAGGAGACCAAGGTTTCTGTACGCCGAGACTACAAGATAAGAATCAGATGCTGTCTGGTCCTGGCTTTCGGTCCCACCAGAGGCCTGGGCCTTCACCGTCATACTGCTTACCTCCTGACTCACAGTAGTTTTATCTTCTTCTAAGTGCAACAGAGACAGGTAAAGCAAGGATATCAACTCTTTGGAGACCAGAGCCCATGACTGCTGTAGAGGAAAAGATGGTTAGGCTAAATCAAATGAAGTCACTAAGCAGGAAAACCACTAACCCCAATTTCAAGCTCCAATAAGGAGCTTGGGAAAAAAAAAAAAAAAATATATATATATATATATATATATATATATATATATATATATATATATATATATATATTTTAATATATGTTTTTATTGCTTTCAGAGAGGAAGAGGGAGAGAAAGATCAAAACATCAATGATGAGAGTGAATCATTGATCAGCCCCCTCCTGCATGCACCCCACCGGGGATCGATCCTGCAACCCCGGGCATGTGCCCCTGACAGGATTCAAACCCGGGACCCTTCAGTCTACAGGTTGGCACTCTATCCACTGAGCCAAACCAGCTAGGGCAAGGAGAAGATGTTCTTAACAAAGGTTTGGAGATCTTCCTCCCTTCATATCATGGCTGATTACCACCACTAGCTCCATTCTTGATTTTCACTGGTGACCCAGTGGTGGTATAAGGTCAGTCAACTCTTACCATGATATTCCTGGTCTGCTGCAAAGACTGTCCAATCTCTCGGTTTCCCTGAAGAAGCTCAAGTTTCTTATTTATCTAGGCAGAGAAACAGAGTTGTTCCTTTTTCATAGACAGCATGCACCACCAGTACCTCATTTCCCCTCCTACCCACTGAGATACAGGAGCCTTTTCTATTAAAAATAGGAGCAAGGTCACAGTTTGATAAAGTCGAGTCAGAAAAATATACAAATGTAGGTAAAAATGTCCTTTTTAAAATAGTTTTTAATTATAAAGACAATGTCTATTGAAAATTTTGCAAATACAGAAATGACTAAAATGGAAAAAGAAATCATTACATAATTTCACCACCTAGAGCAGTGATTTTTAACCACTAGGATAGCACCTATTTCAAGAGATTTAGATATATCTCTACACTACAGATTTTGCTATAGGGATTTGCTATAACTGATGAGTATATTACTTCCCTTAGATGCCAGGGGGAGAAAAAAGTTGTAGACTACTGACTTAGAGAGAAATTATAATATTCACTAAATTCTAAGATGATTATCTCTTTATATTTTAATACCACTAAAATTGGGATGCACCTTAATATTAATAGTGCCAGATTTTATGAAAGACAATTGCTTCAGAAAAAAAACACAATTGAGATTACATATATATGTAAATAAATTTGGGGTCCTGCTTTACTTCATTTTATTACATTAATGTGATTTAGCCCTAAATTTATACTTACTCTCCTTATTGAAATAGCCAGAAACTGGGATATTTGCTTTAATGGGACCTATCAAAGTGAAGTACCACCCATTTTTAACTTCTGCTGATATTTTACCTCATCTCAAAGCCCCTCAGAGGTTATCTGAACTCTGATTTCCTTTCTTTAAAAACCTTGAACTTACATTAAACTTCATTTCCCATGTTATTAAAAACTCTTCATAAACATACTTTTAAATGACTGAAGAATATCCCATCTAATGGATATACCATTATTTCTTATATTTTTTTATTTTTTTAAGTTACCATATTTATGCAGAATATTTTCCTTTTAAGTTACCATATCTATGCAGAATATATACCCCTAAAAAGTGAAGTGACCAGTAAAAAGTTTGAACTCCTTTGAGGGTCTTACTTAAATGTCTTTCAAAAAAAGCTGAACCAACTTATATCCTACTGACAGCAAGGCCATGCTTACCAGCATTATCTATTTTATTCTTTGCTATTTTGTCAGAAGAAAACTACATCATTATTTCATTTCTCTGATCATCAGTAATGATAACCTTCTCAAATATTTTTTTTCAAATTTAATAATCTTTATTGCTCAGATTATTACAATTGTTTCTCCTTCCCCCTCCCCATCCCCCCGCCCCAATCAAATATTTATTAACACGTTTAAGCACCCAGCCCAGATGGAAAGTATAGTGGCAGACACCAGTGACTGACTGGGCGCTTAACGTGTTAATCACTTTTATTTCCTTATTCTCCAAGTGTTCATTATCTTGGGGCAGACAAAAATCTTAATGTGCCATGTAGAACAGACTCACATGATCTCAAAGGCAGCAGAGCTATGGAAAGACTTAAAACTTCTGAGAGAAAAGTGAGGAGCATTCATTACTGCTGAAAGGCAGCCATCATCTGGGAAAACACAACTGCTGGAGTGTTGAGTTACGATGCTAGAGCAGTCTGGACTTAAGGGGGCAGGCACCTCTCCCAGCAAAGCATCATCATTCTCCCCGTGTCGTGCAGTAAGGCACGGAGTACCCCATGAGCCCCAGACAAGGACAAGGCGCACACACTGTGCAGAGCTGAGCAGTCAGGCAGGAGATCAGATTAGTGAGAAGGAGGAAGCCAAGCGGCAAGGACATGGCACTGAGATGGGAATGGCTGAAGGTGCTGTCATTTCCTCCGCTTTGGTTCTGCTTCAGTGGCCTCCAAAGGGATTTGGAAAGCTTCAGGGGAAGAGGTACAAGGCTGACACAGGGAGAGGGAACCAGGTCAAAGACAAGAGTAAAGGACACAAAAATAAGGAAACACAGGAGGAGAACTGAGCAGCTAAAGAAAGGATAAGCCTATGGTTTCCAGGATTTGGGCAAAAGGTGAAGTAATTGAGGATATTTTCAACCCAGAGGAGATCTTTGGGCATTTGGAGAACATCTCTTTTTTTATTATTTTGTTTCAGAGGACTTTTATTAAAGCTGGGGACAGTGAAACAAGAAAGGGCTGGGGAAATGAGCCTAGGCTGGTCTGCTTTGGCTCACTAAGAAGTCAGAGAAAAGGGGGTCTTGGGGACAAGTTTAGGGGGTTTCCCAAGACGAGCTGCCACTCCCACTGCCGCAACGGTTGCAAGTCTCCTGAGGTCCCTTAGAGTTTAGGATAGGGGGAGAAGGAAGGGGAAGGGGAAGAAGGGGAAGGGGCAGGTATGCTAGGAGGGAGAGCACACCTGGAGAACATCTCTTTTTAGCAGCAGCTACCTATTAACCTCACCAGCCACAATACTGAGACTCTCAATTCCTTCCCCTGACACCATTCCCTCCCTTCCTCAGCCTGTGTTGTCACAGCTAGAGCCCTCTATAACACTGTTCTTTAAACTTTTTCTTTTCATATCTGTTATAATAATTTTGAAGAATGAGTGCCCTTAAGTTTAAATTGTTATAAAGGCTGTAATTTCCACCATATTGTAAATATTGACAGTTTGAAATAAAACTATGAAATCACTCTTAAATACATACACCAGAATGATTTAATACCCATTTTATACCTTTAAAAATACATGAACAAACTTTTTTAAGTCAGAAATTTTACATCATCCCTTTTTCTTCTTTATGTGTACTTTTATTCCTCTCAGAATTTTATCCTATACTGTATCTTATAGTACTTTAAAGTCTGTTATTAATCAATATATCTGCAACAGCAAAAGTTCATTTAAATTTAAATTACTTTTAAATTCCTCTGACCATAAGCTTTTATGTGAAAATTTCCTTTAGATAAATATTCTTAACAGTTGTATACTAATCATTGTACTATAATTTTAATAAAATCAAAAACATACCTAGTAAAATTTTTTTTTAAATCCTCACCCAAGGATATTTTTTCCACTGATTTCTACAGAGTGAAAGAGCGGGAGGAGAGGGAGAGAGAGAAAGAGAAATATAGATGTGAGAGAGACACATTGGTTGCCTCCTGCAGCACTCCTACATGGGCTGGGGAACCCCGCAACCTGGCCATGTCCCCTGACTGGGAATTGAACTGTGACCTCCCGGCTCATGGGTTGACGTTCAACACTGAGCAACACCGGCCACGCCACAAATATTTTCAATTATTTGATTGCTATCCCTTGACAATGTAAGGTTCAGGATAGGTAGTAAATATGGTCTTCTTTAGTTATGATAAGTGGGCAAGGGCAATTGAGAAAGGAGAAATAGGAAAGCAAAAAAAAATTAGCAAAATACATTTGGAAGATGAAGATATAGAAACCGATTCTTTTAAAACTATCCTTGCTTGTATTCCCTTAGAAAGTCCTGATGAACCCCAGGGGTATAGTGAGTACCTAAAGCTCTAACGAATTTTCTAGATCCACAGCTTTTACATATTCTAAGACACCTCCTTTGCCCTCTGGCAGTTTATCAGTTTAAATTCTGAGGAGGGCCCACTGGGATCTCCCGCACTTCGGAAGTGACCTTCTTACCCCCCTGCGGCAGGTGTCAGTTGTGTCAGTCTGTGTGCTACTATCACGAACTTCCGGGTGAGGGGCAGTCAGCTGGCTCTTCCAATTCCGCAGCGGGCGAGAGAGAACTTCCAGAATGACAAGAGAGTTCCTCAAGTTATCCTCCAGGTCGTGGCGAGATAAGGCAGTCAGGTCTGGAGGGTGGCTGCAGCAAAAAGAGAACGTGAGGAGAAAACATAGAGGGGAAGGGATGGGAGTGGCAGATCCAGGCTAATGAAGCCGAGGAGGCAGCAGGATACTGGGACACTTACTTCCCCCACAGGAGATGCTCCCTCTCCGAAGTACTGTCCTTGGTGCCCTCCAGGCCTGTACGGGATGTGTTTGTACCCTTCTCCTGTGGTGGTGCTGGTGGAGTGAACCAAGTCCCCACTGAGCAAGTAGAGAAAGGAGCAGTGCCGGTTGCAGCATCCTGAAGCACAGCGGGAAGGGATAAGCTCTGGCGGAGATTTTCCAGCATGACTGAAGTATCCACACCTTTCTCCAGCCAGGCCAGTGGGGACATCCAAGGCCCTGTGTCAGAGATGGGAATCCTACCAGCCTCTTCTACTGCTGGGCCCGGGGCTGGCCGGGACTCCATTTCTCCTGGATTTGGGGTCAGGCATGTGGACGGAATATCTTGCATATTTGAGACAAGTGTTTGATCTCCCAGTTCAGCCACCTCTGGGAGTGTGGAAAAGCTCACTTCTCTTTCCTCTATAGCTCCCTGCTCTACAATTTCCTGCCCTGAGTCCACATGACCGACAGGGAAATCCGCTGGAAAGGCAGTTGAAGGGGGAAGACAGAGCATGGAGGAAGGCAAGATGGCATTACTTTCAGAAGACACCAAGTCCTCAGGCGCAGCCTCAGGTTCACTGTCCCTCAGGCTGTCCTTGGAACAGTGTAGCTGTTGCTCAGAACAGGGATTTGGTAGACACACCAACAGATGGGCTGGAGGAACCTGAAATGTCAGTTTCTCAGGCATAGCAGGAACAACTTCTGAAAAGCTGTCTTTCTCAGGCATAGAAGGGACAACTTCTGAAAAGCTGTCTTTCTCAGGCATAGAAGGGACAACTTCTGAAAAGCTGTCTTTCTCAGGCATAGCAGGGACAACTTCTGAAAAGCTGTCTTTCTCAGGCATAGAAGGGACAACTTCTGAAAAGCTGTCTTTCTCAGGCATAGCAGGGACTACTTCTGAAAAGCTGTCTTTCTCAGGCATAACAGGAACAACTTCTGAAAAGCTGTCTTTCTCAGGCATAGCAGAGACAACTTCTGAAAAGCAGGGTTCCACCCCCTTTCTTAGCAGATCTTCTGGCCTCAAAGACTCATCCAGAGGAAAACTGTTTATCTCTGCTGTGGTATTTAAATGGGCCTCAAATGTAATGTCTTGCTGCTGCCCTCCTGCAGAGGGTACAAGGACCATGGTTTCAACTACATTGTTTTCCGCTGGGTCTACTGCTTCCCCAGAAGTTTTGGGAGTAGAGTTGTTTTGGGGAATCAGATTTAGGGGCTGCTCATCTGATTCATGTTGACAAGCTTCTAGCCACTTTGAGGGATGGCTGAACTGTTCTGATGGGGAGTCTGTCATCTTAGCATTTTCAAAATCCAATGGAGATGAGTTGTTGCCGTCCTCCTGCCAAAGAAAACAAAAGTAGTGGACTAAGGCAATCAAGTCCGGTTCTCAACATACAGTGATGGGTGAAAGATACTGTCCAAATCTGGAAAAGAATATGAGTTCTCATGACCTCTGCTTAGGTAAGATCTTGGCTAAGCTTTGCCTCTCACTGCAGGGACCCAATAGCTGGGAAAGAAAAGCTAGGAAGCTATTTTGGATCCTTCCAAGTGAACCTACCTATAGAAAAAACAGGGCTGAGATAATTTATCTACATCAAAGTGGCCCCACTCCTCTTAAATTCTAACTCCAATTCACTTCTAAAGGGAACAGGTAAGAGGCGGTCCCTAGACACAAGCTCTGTTAGAATCTAGAATTGGTCCAAGATTTTTCTCCTTCTCCATCAGAGTTAGAGAGCACTTGGCCCACAGAGATCCAAGGACCCCAGGGAGAAAGGGCAACATCAACCTGTGCCAGGAACCTAGTGTCCTTGACCTCAACCCTGAATACATGGGTTGAATCCATTGAACAGTGGGATTTGAAGGTCTCTAGTCTTTGTAGCAGAGGAGAATAAAGAGCAGAGACTTCCTCTTAGCGCCCTAATAAGGGACTAACAACCTCATTTTAATCTCCTGATGTATATCCTTCCATATTTCCTCTTTGTTCTTTTAATAATATACAACATACAAAATTACTTTATTGGTAGATTATAAATAGTTCTCATTATTTGTAGTAGTTATGTTCTATAAAGTCTCTGTGAACACTTAATTAGCAAATACTGAACTGCTGCTCCTAGGGGAAACACAGGGTATGTTCCTGCAAATTTCCTAGCAAACATTTTCATTAACCAATTAAGTCCAATCTTATTTTATGTGTTTTTTGTTCTAAAACGCCGTATGTAAAATATATTGTTGATTCTTTAACATTGAAGTCACAGCCAACAGCACTGATGCCTGAATGAAGCTTGTCTAACTCAGATAACGTACATCATAGCTTTCTTGCACTTAGAACACTAGCCAGCACTTCAACACTTATGTTTGTGGACATTTAAAACAGAGAAATAACAAACAAAAAAACCCCCACAAAATTCGAAAACCATGGCACTAAAATAGATCACGAGAAAGACATTTGTTTACAGTATGACCACTAAAACAAGAAGACAAAATGTCACCTTGTTCAACCTCTGCTAGGAAGGTGTTTAAGGCGATTCCTATTTTTTTCCTTCTCTGCACGTCCAAAGGTGTTGCAAATATTGATTTGGGGATTATAAATAACTTTTTGTGAATTCACAAATACTGAATCCAAAAATAATAAGGTTTGATTGTCTACATTTCTCCGCATGCTGCTTTTCTCATTTAACATGTGCAAATCCCTCCAAGTCAACAAAAGCACACAAATGTAAAAACCATTGCACTAAATAGTAGGTTTCGAACTAATCTATAAGCTATTATGGTATGCATGAATCATAATTCATTCACAACTGGTTATTTGTTTCCATTTTTGTTTTGCTTCTACAAGCCACGCTAACATAACTACCTTTGTACATATAGTATTGCCTCTGTTAGCTGTCTGATCTCTGTATGTGAGTCCATGTTAGAGGAAGACTACTAACCAAAATGATAGTATTTTTCTCCAACTTGGTAAAGATTAAACGGGGGAGGAGGTGATAAAGTCTAACAGCTAAATAGAGGTCCAGATTCTCAGCGGATATTCTTTAACCACCCTAGAGCACCTCTCTGTTGGCCTGAATAGCTGTAAATAGATGTCACTAAAGTAGAAGACTTCATTATCGTTATTAATTACGTTCCAGCACTGGCCCTCAGTTCCTCTGAGCTGTCGGCCTCGGCGGAGAGCCCAGTGGAGAAGCCGGCCAGACGAATCTCACCTGCAGCCCCAGTTTGCACAGCGATGGGGTCAGCGAGTAGCATATCCCAGGCCCTTGCGCAGAGCTGGTGAGAGCTTCGGGCTGCAGGTTAAGTTCTCGGAGAGGAGTTCGCACAGGTGGTTCTCCCTAAGAAACAAAGAATGAGACAGTGTGAGGAAGCCTGTGCTCCCCGTCCCCCCTCCCCAAGAAGCTCAGGGCTCCTATCCAAGAGGCGCTGCGGAAGCTCCACACGCTCCTGCCCCTGCCCCCACCCCAGGCTGGACCCAGCAGTCTCCCTCCTTGAGGCTCTCCCGCTCACCGGCTGGGTCGATGGCGACAGGCTCAGTTTTCTCACCCGCCACATCTTCAACACAGAACACGGAAAGATCACCTCGCTATCCGAGAGGTGACGGCTAGCGCACCCGCCGCCTTCATTTTAAAACTGCTCCGCGCTTCCGGATTGGCTGCCAAGTTCCAGTGCGTCAGTCTGGCGCATCCTCTCGGGGCTCCGAACTGGTGGGCGGTGTGAGGGGCGGGGCCAGCGCAGGCACCGCCCCCTCTCCGACCCCGCCCCCAGGCTCACGGTCGCGCGCGTTCTCGACTCCTCACCACAGACGCGGGCGGGGGAACCGGACGCGCGCCCCCTGAGGCCGGTTCGCAGCCTCACCTCGCGGAGGGGACCTCGGTACCTGGAAAGTCAGGGGGTCCATCCCTTCTGCCGCCATTGGGCCAGCCTTTTCACCCAGTCAGAAAAGTTGGTTTCCCTCAGTTACCTCAGCCTCAGCCTTAACCAGAAAACCAGCCTGGAGTCTTGAAGGGAAAGGTGAGTGGAGCGGGTTTTTTTTTTTTTTTTTTTTACTTCGCCTCGCTCGTCCGAAATGGATGGAGGTGGAGTTCTCAGCCCGCGCAGTAATTGCGTCGTTTCAAATGTCTCTTGTTTTCGTGGAACTTCCCTCAGGGCCCGCAGCGAGTTGATTGGAACAATATAGTGAACAGGTATTGAACATTTACTATGTACCTGGCACTGTTACAGACGCTTTACATATATTGGCTCCTTTAATATTCATTCATAGGGATCGATAAAGTAGGTGCTGTAAAATATCCCCACTTTACAGACGAAGGAACTGAGTCAGAGACCATGAAATTGGCCCAAGACCCGCTGGTAGTAAATGGCAGTCAAGATTCCAACCCACACTGCCAACTACATTTCCTGCCACTTCAGTCCCCTCTGGGTGGGAAATCCAGCCTAGCTATTGAAGGTAGAATTGAGTTTTGGAAACAGTTAAAGGTCAGTATCTATAATAAAAGCATAATATGCTATAGACCGGACAGCCGGACATCCTTGTCCTTCCCCACAACCTTCCGGATGAAGCCCCTTGCACGAATTTCGTGCATCGGGTCTCTAGTTTAGAGATAATAGTTTATGATGAAGTACGCTCCTTTGAACACTTACAGCACCTTATTTACACTCTGAGGTCTGTATGAATTTGGAAAAGGCAATATGTAATCCAAAGAGGAGGAACTGTAATGTTATGAACTGCAGGGCCCACAGGGGAAGTGTTCCTTCAGAACTGTGCTGTCCAGGACTGTAGCAGCCAGCCACATGTGGCTACTGAACACTTCAAGTGTGGCCAACCCAAATTAAGATGGCATAGGCATTTAAAAAAAAAAAAGATGTTATAGGCATAAAATACAAACTATCTTTCAAAGACTTGGTATTAAAAAAGAATGTATTTTTCACTCCCCCAAAAAACACATAAAAACGCACCAAAACAAAAACAAACAAATAAAAAAGAATGTTTTTTATTTCAGGGCGCTCAGTACTGAGTACCGAGTATTGAGTACTGGGCTCCCTGGGACTCAGTTTCCCCTCTGCAAAGAGGCACTGCCATGAACTGGTCCTCCAGCTATGGGTTCCGTGTTCCCTTTGTTCACACACACACACACACACACACACACACACACACACGGAGGTAGGTTCCAGGCCTAACTCCGCCAGAAGAGTCCCCTCTGCCTTAGGTCCCTGGTGATTTCAAAAGTGGCAAAGATGGCACCTGTTGCCCCGGAATGGCAGCTCCCAGTCCCGGTTCCCAGCCTTTCCAGCCAGGATATAAAGCCTTTTCTGAATTTCTCTAGGGCAGTGGTCGGCACATTGCGGCTCACGAGCCATGTGTGGCTCTTTGGCCCCTTGAGTTTTTAGCAAAGGCCAGCTTAAGAGTACCCTAATTAAGTTAATAACAATGTACCTACCTACATAGTTTAAGTTTTAAATATTTGGCTCTCAAAAGAAATTTCAATCGTCGTACTGTTGATATTTGGCTCTGTTGACTAATGAATTTGCCGACTGCTGCCCTAGGTAAAAGGGGCATGATAACCTGTCTCCTGCAGCTAAGCCCAAGGGTAGATACTATAAAGTGCTTTGCTCCTGTGGGATCAAGTCTGGCTGACCTGGGAACCTCGAAGCATCCTCTGGAGGCCGGGGCGGCCTCAGTTCGGAGCTGTGTGTGAGACAGCATTCTGTGAACATTCACAGGGTGACTGGGGTCAGTGCACCTCCGCTGCCAGCTTTCCCCCCTCGTCACTGGATCTCCTAGTTGCGCCTGCCTTCCTCTCCTGGTGTGGTCCCTATTTCAGAAAACGCGTGCCTGGCCCTGAGTGTGGCCCCACCTCTCTGTGCCTGCCCCTCAGGCTTACCTGTTGAGTGCTCCTGTCTTTATCACTATGAACCTGCAAACTCTGTGCCTGATTCACTCCGTGTGTCCTTGACTGTTCCTTCATCAGTTGGGGGCTTACTTGCCAGGCGTCTGAGTTTATGTGGCTGTACCTGTCCTTCTTTGACTTGGTGCATGTACCTGCCTCAGCCTGTGCTCACCTTCCATGTGCCCTCTCCATCTCCTCCACTGCCGGGCCAAGAGGCCCTCAGACTTGGCGTGGCGTGTCTCGATAACCCCAGACCCACAGCTACAGTGGCGGAGCCAGAGGCGGGAGGCAGGGTAGGCAAAAATGACTATTTCTTAACACGTATTTCTCTCTCAGTGTCTTGTATAGAGCCTCTAAGTCAACTGATATAGATATAATTGACTTGTCACTTCATATTCCTTGCCCTTAAAAATAAGGGTTCTTTTCTGATTTGTAAGAACTCTGTTATAGACATTTAAAATATAAAAATAAATGTGTATATATCTTTATTGATTTCAGGGAGGAAGTGGAGGGAGAGATAGAAATATTAATGATGACAGAGAATCATTGCTCTGCTGCCTCAGGGATCAAGCCTGCAATTCGGGTATATGCCCTGACCAGGAATCAAAATGTGATTTCCTGGTTCATAGGTCAGTGCTCAACCACTGAGCCACTACAGCCAGACTGTGTTATAGACATTAACTGTCATCACATTGTATTTTTTAGGATCTATTTTTTTGTCCATTGGCTTTAGTTTTTAAAATGTTTTGATTTTTAGAAAGAGAGGAAGGGAGAGGGATAGAGATAAAAACATCAATGAGAAAAAAACATCAACATCATTCAGCTTCCTTCTGCAAAGCCCCTGCTGGAGATTGAGTCCGAAACCTGGGTATGTGCCCTGACAAGGATTCAAATCAGTGACCTCTTACTTTCTGGGTCAATGCTCAATGCTGAGCCACACCAGCTGGGCTGTCCATTGGCTTTATTAATGCAATCTTGAGTCATACAAAGATCCAACTTATGTGGTCACAAAGTTTATTTTTCCTTCCAGAGCATCTGGATTTCTTGAGTGATTCATTCATCAACTTTGTATGTAAATGTTTTCCTTTTTTTTTTTAAAGTGTTTTCATTTTCTTTCTTGGTTTAGTTATCTCCTCTAGACCCTGATTATAAGTCTAGTCTCCCAAATGTTCTTGAGATTCTTAATGTTTTGATGTTCACATTTAAAGCCTTAATGTATTTGGAATTAAGTTCTGTAGGGATCCAATTATTTAAAAACAACTGTTGCCGAAACCAATAAAATATATTAAAATAAATAAATAAATAAATAAAAACTGGATCATCAAGGTGGTCATACTGAGTTGGCAATGGAGGAGATGCTCAGGTTCCCAGATGGGCCCCAGTCTATAGTAGAGGGGTTCAAGCAAGTCCAGGGTAGACCAGATAGGACTCCAGGTTACAGTCAAAGTCCTTGAACAGCATGGACTCTGATGGACTAGGCTGGGTAGCTTGAGTCTCCAAGACAAAGTTCACTGGCTGTTTCTGTAGGAGCTCTGGGTCAAAGGTCACACCCCGAAAGAAAGGGTGGACCTGGAAGTGATGCAAATGATGTAGACGCTGGAGGGGATTCTGGCATAAGAGCTGAAGGGAAACAGAGCAACAAGGAATAGGGACTGGGATGGGAAAGGGGCTGTTAACAGAGAAGCTAAAAGGGGAAAGAGAAGTTCCTGGAGCTGTGGAGGGCAGAAAAAAGAACCCTAAAGAGGAAGGGACTTATAAAAGAGGGAGACAGGCTAATTTGGGGGCAAAGGCAGGAATAAAGGAACTGTATTGGTAAGAAAGCAGCACTGGCCCACTCTCTCAGAAGTGACCTGTTATGGATGGCTAGGATATTTGGAGGAACAGGAACTCAGGAATGAAATTTGAAATGCTGGTTAGAGGGCAAGTAGTGACATATTACTGAGTTGAAGTCAGCCATCTGCCCCACCTTCCCCCCAAATAATTACAGGAATGGGAAATGCCACTTCAATGATAGGGAAAGGAGAGAGTGAATGGTTAGTTTGGTAGTCAAAAAGGAAAGCAGTGTTCATCCTTACCTCGTGGAGCAGAAGTGAGAGCCCCTGGTTAAGAGAAGCTGGGATCTCAGAGTCATTGTGGGTCACACTTGCCAGCATGGCCACATGATCTCTCTCTGCGGCCACTGGGAACTAAGTTGAGGGGTGGGAGGGTGTCATTTCTTAGTAAGAAAAAGGCAAGGTTTCCTAAGGTCTTCCTTCTTCCCACCACTGGGCAAAACTCCTCTTTTCTGCCCATTCTCTCACCTCTCCAGTTGCCAGAGAGAAAAGCAAAACACCCAGGGACCACCAATCAGCAGCATGGTTGTAAGGCCCTCCTCTAAGGACCTCTGGGGCTACAGATTTGAAAGATACTTGTCATTGACATCTGTTGGCTATCCTCTTGCCCAATACTTATCCACCTGCTTTGGCCTTTTTCTTACCCATGTATTGAAGAGTGCCACAAATAGTATAGGCTCGAGCTCCCTGGGGCAGGTGGCGGGACAAACCAAAGTCTGTCAGTTTCAGATGACCTATATAAAAGATAATGCAACAGCACCACTCTGTTCCATCCCTCGCCAGCCCTGGCTCATTCCCAAACTTGAAGTAACTCACATTCCAGGGCTAGAAAAAGAAAAGGATTTACCTCGTTTATCCAGGAGGATATTCTCCATCTGAAAAAAATCGCAGATAAGAAAGTATTAGTCATCTTATTCATTTCAACTCTCTTTCATCATGTATACCCCCCAACTGAAAAAGATGCCCTACTCAACATTCAGGTCTATACATGGAAGGTCCTTGCCCAAATCCTTAGCACCCATGAGTGTCCCAAGATGAGCTGTTCTCAGCTCCCCCATGCCTTCTTGGATCTGTGGAACTTACTCAGGCACCTCCTCAGACCAAGAAAAGAAAAGCACTTAACTCTTACCTTCACATCCCGATGGATGATGCCCAAGTCATGGAGATAGCCTGTGGAAGACAGCAAGCAGGCAGTATGCTGAAGCACTCCTGTCCTTTCCAATTTCTCTGGTAGCCCCACCCCATCCCTATCCCCGTTCCTTCATCTCTAGCATTAATATAAATATTTTTTTTGTCCCCCATTCAATTAATTCTTCCCTCATTTCCAATACCACTCCCATTTCACTTACACAGCACCAGGACCAGTTCAGCAGCAAAGAGGCGGATGGAAGCCTCAGCAAAGCAGCCAACAGCGGACCACAGGGAGTACAGATCTGTGCTACAGTAGCTGCACACTGCAAAGTACCAGAAGTCTAGGCAATATTTGAGGGCTACTGGGCCTGGGCTCAAGGCATCATAGGCCTCCTGCCCAACCTGATGCCACGTGCTATATGCTCCCTCTCCCTTTGGGAGAGAAGTGCTGTAAGAAAGGGAACAGAGCAAAGGCAGAACAAGCCAAAGGGATATGGAGAGAATGGTAGAGGGTCCTTGGGAATGAGGAGAGAGACCACTCACTAATGAAGAGATGCCGTTTTCCCTGCCAGCTGTCTCCCAAACCATGTACAAAAGGATGGTTGATCTGTCGCTATGGACAAAGAAAACAGGAAATTAGGGGAAAACAAGATAACTGAGGATCAAGGCAACCAAGAAGTCAATATACCTACATGTGCAGAAAGCGAGCTGCTGTCCCACCTCTCAGTTTACTAGTAGGTGAACTAAATTGGGGCTGTCTGCCTGGTAATCCAGGAACCAGCATAATACTAAGGAACGCACTGGGACATGCTGGAGAGATTTCCCTGGCACCACAGGCTGAGGTGATGCCCAATATGAGGCTGAGCTCACCCAGGAGGGGCAGCAATGCTGGAGGAAGCTGCTGCTGCTGTGTCCTCCCTCCATGCTTCCCTTTCCAGCACAAGGAGGAAGAGGGGGAGGAGAGGGAGATAGAGAGGAGAAAGATTTTACTATGCATTTTACTGTAGGCCAACAGAAGTTGGGGATAAAGGTAACTGTGTCAGCAAATCTTGGTGACAACACAACAAATGCTTCTTCAGAAGAGACTATTCCCTCTAAAGACACTGTGGGGTGTCTCAGCAACCCATGATAGCAGTAACATGACAGAGAAAAGGGTGGCATCTGAGCTCCCCCAGGATGTGCCAGGTACAGAGTACAGTGTATCAGTGCCTCTGTAATGGAGGAAATGCTCCCCCTTTTGTAGTAAAAGCTGAATGTCACCTAAAATTTTCAAGTATATGTTCATTCATCCTGCTTCCTCACGTATCATCCCTGACTGCTAAATTGTCACCTAACATTTGTCAAATTCATCATAATCTTCATTTTCAAGTTTGTTTAGCTGTTTTTGTCTAATGGACATATTTGTGTATTTTATCACCAAACTAAAATGGGGGCAGATATTTTAGTTTTAAGTACTTACAAACTAATTACTCAGTGTTGAACGATTTGACATTCCAATTCTTTATATGCTAACAAATTAATTGCATGTCTGCATGTGCTCATGTAGTTTTTCTTTAATATTTCAAATCATAATATAGAAAACCATTGTCATAAAATTCTTTGCAAGATATATTTGACATAAAATTTTGTTAATCAGTAATTCATATTTTAAGCTTAAAGTTAAAATTATTCTCAAAATGTTATTACATTAAGAGTGTCATTATGTTTTTCTTTTTGCATTTTTTAAAAATGAAAAAAAAATTGATATAGGAGCTATATGTCTTTTATTCAGATGAGCAAAACAATATAAACACTGGTGAGTCCACTAAAAATTAAGAATTATAGTTAACTAGAGGCCCAGTGCATGAATTCATGCACAGGTGGGATCTGACTGGCCCACCCTGATGGGGGCCCATCTGGCTGGGCCGGCTGCAGGGAGGGGCCACGGGTGGTTGGCCTGCTGGCTCTGCCCCCGATTGGGGTGTTGGGGGCCAATCATCGGAGGTGAGGTTGGCCAGAGGGAGGGGGAGGGGGAATTGATCAGAGCCCAGATTAGGCTGGTTGGCTGCCACAGTGTGCATCATAGCCACTGGTGGTTCTGGTCCTTCTGGTCCTGCCATTCTGGTCGCTGGCTTTTATATATATAGATAACCTTAATGGAAATCCTAAAAGATTTTTTCTACATATTATAAAAATATTATATAATTATTTTCTCTCTCCAGGACCTTTCCTTTATTTTAGTTATTCTGGTAAGAATGTAGGGATATCTTATTCTGATTTGAACTTACAGTTGCCTGGTGCTAAGGATATTAAGCACCTTTTCATGTGTAAGTATGTATGTATACACATACATACAGGTCACTTGGATATCTGCTTTTGTGAAGTGCCTGTGAGCTCCTTTCTTCATTTTCTATTAACTGGTTTCTTTTTTGTTTGTGGTTGTTTCATGGGTAAGGGTAAATCCAGTCCCTTTACTCTGTCTTTACTAGAAGCATTAGTTCCTACATTGATTTAAAATAAATATATATATATATATATATATATATATATATATATAATTTTTTTTTTTTTTTACAAAGAAGGGATAGAGAGAGTTAGAAACATTGATGAGAAACATCAATCAGCTGCCTCCTGCACACCCCCTACTGGGGATGTGCCCGCAACCAAGGTACAGTACATGCCCTTGACCGGAATTGAATCTGGGACCCTTCAGTCCACAGGCTGATGCTCTATCCACTAAGTCAAACTGATTAGGGCCTACATTGATTTTTTTAAAGTGTAAAACCCAACCTCATATTCCTAGAATACAACTTGGTTGTGATATATTTTCATTATTTATTGTTTATTAATATTTTGTTTATAATTTTTGTATCTACTTTCATGAGTGAGATTGACTTATAGTTTTCCATCTCTGATAATGTCCATGCCAGGCTTATACTGGCTTCAGAAAATGAGTGGGAAAAGTTCCCAACCACAAACAAACAAAGGACTTAGACTAACTCTGCTGATACCGTTTCCCCGAAAATAAGACAGTATCTTATATTAATTTTTGCTCCCAAAGATGCGCTAGGTCTTATTTTCAGGGGATGTCTTATTTTTCCATAAAGAAGAATACGGTACACATTTATCATTAAATGAAAATAAAGGAAATTTATTACCTCTATACGGTACGGTAGTACGGTAGTTGTTAACACGAACCAGACAAACTGTGAATCCTACAGTATCAAGAATTTACTCATTTATTCAATGACAATCATGTCATCATCTTCTGGAATATCATCATAACAATCCAATTCCTGAATTTCCTGGTGAATTTCTTGTGACTCCATTTCTTTCAGAATCAGTGGACCAAATCTCTCATGTTTAGCCTAGGAGGGGCCTTATTTTCGTGGGGATGCCTTATATTTCACTCAGAAGGAAACCTGTAAGTAGGTCTTATTTTCGAGGAAACACGGTAGCTACTTTTTCCAGGATCTACTTGGTTGAATCCAAGGGAGGGGCAGAACCAGGAATACCAGGACAGTTGGACAAGAGAGGTGCTTTCTCCACCATAGTTCTTACTAGGATCCTTTCCAGGGCTCTGTGCCTACCTGGATGCTAACCTCCTCTTTGCACTGCCTCAGGATGTCCTTCTGGAGGACCTTGACCTTGGGCACCACCTATAAAAGGATAGAAATGATGACTCCTAGAGGGAAATAGTGCTATTGAATTATTTATTCCTCCCAACCTTTCTGGAACCAAAATGAGGCAGGGATTAGAAAATAATGTGGAAGAATATCTAGGTCCCTACCTTCACTGCAAATACTGCTTTCTGGCCACAGTCTAGCACCTTGAAGACAGTTCCAAAGGAACCTTTAGCCACAAGGCCTAAAACCTGTACAGAAAAATGGAGAACAGGGGAATTGAGATTCTGGTTGTTTCCAAATTTCTCACCAAGACTGAGACCCCTTCCAGTGATTCCATTTGACCTACCTTCAGCTGCTGATGCCCTCTAAGGGGCCTAATGGGAAACTCCGGCAGAAAGAGGTTGATGAACTGAGGCACTGGCCATGCAGACAGAGGCTTCTCTACTAGCCGTGAAGCTGGCTCCTGATGTTGGCACTGATGCCCCCGTAGTCCCCACCGTTCTTCCAGGCCTGACCTGGTGGTTCCCACACCTGACCAGAGGCTCTTCCAGCCTCGGACCCAGGGGCCCTGGATGTTGCTACCTTGCTGAGAACCAAGGAAGCCATTCTAAACCTTCTGCCTCCCTGCGGCATTACAGGTTCTGCCCATCTCAGCAGATGCTCTCTCTAATCTCAACCCTAGAGATATAATTTTGAGACCAGGCAAAATCACCACTACTACTCTTGCTTGGGACCAAGTAAGGTCGAGATTTCCTGATTATAATTCAAATCATCTAGGAAAGTAGTATTTGGACATTTTCCCCACGAGGCATCGAAGATTCAGCCTGCCCCTCCCAGTATGGAGGAATACTTTCACGGTATAGCCTCCCCCCCTCCCCCCCTCAGGGGAGGGGCATACTAACATTCGCCACATCAGCCTCAAGCCGATTTCCTTCACCTCCCCTAAACAGGCTGCCAGAGCCCCACAGCCTACCTTATTAGGAAGAGCCACCTGGGCATGTTGCCCCTGTCGACAGTTAATTGTTCCCATTCCCAGCCTCTGCCTCTCTCCTTTCACTAAATCTGCTGTCCCAGTTACATAAGCAGTTCCTCCCCCCATGCTGCATTACACATGAGCCCCGCCTCTTACTTGCTGTTCATAACTAGAGATGCAAGTGATACAACCAAACCTCACCTTTATCCCCAAATCCTATCATCCCTGGTTAAGAAGAGGTTTATAACCAGAACTAAAATGTGCAGAGAACTACCAGCATAGAGCCAGTGTCACACCAGAGCTGGGATGGGAAATATCTGTGATACATTATTAGGCAGGAGGGAAGAAGCCAACCTCTCACAAGAGTGGCAGCTAGAGGATGTGTCTTAGGTTGATGGGGAGGGAAGGATACATACAGGTTAAATCCATGCACTCAACACAATAAAACAAAAACAAACAAAACAAAAACACAGAAAAAAAACAGCATCAAATTTAAAATATATTTTTTTCTCTTTAAATCATTTTCTTACCATTCTCCAGAGCATACCCCAGAGGGGACCTATGGCCAGCCCTGGCTTCTGTTGTCATTTCCCCAAGTGACCTTGGCATAAATTGGGGGAGGGGCTGATTCCCCCCATAACACTAATACCTCTTTTATACAAGGCAGTGGAATGAGGGACAGATCAGCCCTCTGGCACCCCCCCCCCCCAACTTTCTGGCACATGGGAAGAGCAGTTACATTTAGAGAAATATATATATATATATATATTTATATATGTCTATTTATAAAAATTTATCACACTTGATCAGAACTGTCCCCCATCCCGTCAGCTGACCCCAAAGGAACCAGATCCTAGTCCTGGGGCCATTCCCTGGGTCTTGCTCTCTTGACGCCTCTCTGGCCCTCGGCCAGCTGATCAGTGTGAGGTAGTACTCAGCATTATTACCCACCATACTCTGCAGAGAACAGGTCAGCTGCTAAAGAGCAGTGTCTTTCTCTGCAGTACCCTGTGGGCTCCTACCCCAACAAGTCCTGGTGGATAAAGGGAAGTGCCTCCCACCCCACAAGTCCCTGGGTCCTGAGTCAGAGTCAGATCCTGTATTGCAGCCATTCTTGAATTGCCGGGTCACTTGCGCCTGCCAAAAATGGACTTCTTGCCAGGGTTCTTGTTGCCCACACTTAAACCGATGAGGAGCCGCGCTTTCTCCTCTTCTTCCTGCTGTTGCATGTTGAGGTCTGATTTAGTTTCTAGCTTTCCCCGGACCTCTGACCCTGTTGCAGGCTTCAGCCTTAGCTTCTCTTTGATTACCTGATAGGTCAGAGAGGAGTAAAAGGGAAGGTAAATATTAGTGGGACAGACAAAATAAGTCATACTGACTCAATCAATCAAGATTTATTAAATTTATACACATGCACAATGGAGTCCTTCAAATCCTAAAATGATCTCTGCTTTCAAGAAGCTTACAGTCTAATTAGAGCCATTCTAAACCTGAGTTTGTGTCAGCTCTCAGTTTCCTAAGAAGTCAATAGTTAACATATGAAACCATAAACATTCAATTTAATCTTCTGAACAAAGTCATGGAGAGAGCAGGGATAAAAGTTGTTCACTTTATCCACCTGTCCCATCCCAAGGCTGCTTGTTAATACACACTACAAAAAAAGAAAACAAAAAACAAACAAAAAAACACTACAATGAAATGCTCCTGAGCAAAGGATCTGCTTTCCAGATCCTGCTAACCAAACAGCCATGAATTCTGCCGGGATACCTGGGCAACCAGGGCTTTGCGGCTGTCCCTTTTGACGGCCATGGCAAAGTCTAGCCATGTCCATGTGTTGTTGTGGTACTCCAGACAGGGCAGCACCAGGTTGAGGTCACCCCAGTCCACACTGTTCTTCTCACCCTGCAAGAATGGGGAGGGAAGAGAAAGAGGAAGGGAAAACATCATATGCCACTTTTAGTCCAAGCTAATACTTAAATCCAAGTCTAATACCTTCCCATATAGCAGCAAACTATTGATTCCCCCTTATCTCAGGCTGACAATGGAAGCAAGCAACACAGATTAATCACCAATGGCCCAACTTCATAAGCTAGACTATCTCCCTGTCTTTAATGATGATCTTATCTGGTTCCCTTCCCACCCTGTTCTAGAAAGTGCTGGAGAGGAGCAGACCTTGTAGCTGACACACAGTGGAACCTGTGGAATCTTTATATAGATGAAGGAATTGTTCATGGCAGCTCGTTCTTTCATCTTGTCAATATCATCCACAGGGTGCTAGGAAAGGCAAGAAAGGAGTGTGAGCCCCTGAAACCATCTGAAGAAATTTAGGACCCCCAAACATCTCCCTCTCCTTCCATCCCTGGAGTAAATTCAAAGGCAACAGAAGAAATCCCCAGCCAAGCTTAATGGAAATCCTAGGACTTCCATTTTTCTATCATCAGGGGCATGGCCAATACCTCTGGGGCTTTGCGAAATGACCTTCTGACACCAGAACTCCGATTCAAGCCCTGTGCCACACCCTTCCCAGGGCCCAGTGCTGCTGCATCATCTGTTGCAATCAGCTGCCGAGGCTTCACCACTGGTATTCCTATGAAAAAGCAAGCACATCAGCTGTTGCCTTCTTTCTGGAGCTTCAGCTCTCTCTGAGGCTGCTAGGCTACCCCAGTCTTCTGGAGCACCACCGTAAAAGTTCTCACCAGTAGTCACCAGTTTGGACTTATCTTCCTCATCACCAACCTCATCATCTTCCACATTTCGACCAGGAAAGAAAAAGCCCATTATTCTATGGAAGAACTGGTGTGTCAGCTGGATGGTGAGAGGCACCACATTTACCTAAAGAGGAAAAAGGCTGAAGAAGCAATTAAGTTCAGACATCATCCCTCAGTTTACCTACCCCTAACAGCATAATACAATGCACAGATAGCTTTTGACTGCCCTTTATTCCTGGATCTCCAAAGGACTATCTACTAACCTCAAAGTGCTCCTTAACAGATATACCCCCAACAGGGGGCCGGACTTTGCTGAACAGACGGAGAGCCAGCTGTCGCCCAGACTGGCAGGAGCTCTGGGGCCTCAGGACTACCTGTAGGATAGAATGACAAATCAGCCCACAAATCCTCTGCGGACTAAAAGGAGAAGCAATAGTCTTGCTAAGATAAGCAAACTTTTACCATTTCAGATCACCACACTGTTTCCCATAGTGGGTTTATGTGGAAGGGCCATTACAAAAGGCCCGTGTTAGAAAGTATGTGAATGGGCTAGGAATGGGGAAATAAGACTTGCCTTGTAGACAGCATTGGGAAGGAGGTTGTTCATAGTGAACCAGCCCAACTCCAGAAGATGTTCTGCTGTATCATCAGATTTATTCACCTATAAAGAAAGATTATCCTCCCAATCCACTATAATAAGCCTTTTCTCAGGAGCTTGCTAGAGAATTGCTACATAACGTATTTGTTTTCAGGTTCTCCATATGCCTAATCCCAACCTTTAATATCTCTTTTGAAATCAAATAATCCTGTTTTTCATGGGACCTACTGGCCAGGGCACTAAATACCAGTAGTATTCCCAGTCACTATGACATTCAAAAATAGTCTCATTCATTCCCAAACATCCTGGAAAGGGACAGGGTCGGGGAGAAATGAACAATGTCTTCTCCTCTATGCCATGGGTAATTGCAGGAAGCTGAATGCCAGTACAGAATTAAGGTTCTATTTCAAGCAGTATTTAGAATACCTCCCTCTGGGCCACATTTCTAGGGATAATCTTATTCACTGAGGGAAACATTTGACCACTCTCATCTATAATTGCATGTATCTAAGGGGAACTCTGCTCATGTTTCATTAGTAACCTTTAATAACATCATATTAATCCTAATATGCAAATTGACCAAATGGTGGAACAACACGCACTGACCACCAGGGGGCAGACACTCAGTGCAGGAGCTGCCCCATGGTGGTCAGGTCAGTGCACTCCCACAGGGGGAGCACCACTCTGCCAGAAGCCAGGCTCACGGCTGGCGAGAACAGCAGCAGTTGCAGAAGCCTCTCCTGCCTCCCCAGCAGTGCTAAGGACCCCTGGGGGATGTCCAACTGCTGGCTTAGGTGAGGGCTTAGGCAAAGGGTCCTGGGCTGTGAGAGGATGCAGGCTGGGTTCAGGGACCCCCACACTCAGGCCTCTAGTAGTTATATAAAAACTAGCTCCTTTTTGTTTCTCTTTTTGTGAGTTAGACTCCTAAGATAGGCCAGTGTCTCTCAATACAGCTGCCTTAGTATGATTGTATATACCCAATACCTTGCTATAGAGAAACCGCTGCAGTTCCAGTTCAGCAATTCCTAGCTGTCCATCTTCCTCTGTCAGGCGCCAACGTGCCTGAGCAAAGTAGAACTCAGTGCGACGAACCACGCTCACATCTTCCTGCTGCTTTCGCAGCTCCATCTTGTTGGCCTGCTGCAACTGGAAATCCTTAAAACACCTATAAATGGACAGGAGGATCAAAGCCAATACAGGCAATAGCATTTGGGTTGGGGGTGGGATGGAATGATGCATGATATAATCTACTCTGGAACAGCTATCCTCTACTTTTTTTTTTTTTTCAAAGTATCGCTTCTCACATCCTGCCATAGGAATGCAAATCCATCTTTCAGTTCTACAGATTCTTCTTTCTTTTTTTTCTTTTTTTAAAAATATATTTTATTGATTTTCCCCAGAGAGGAAGGGAAAGAGATAGTTAGAAACATCGATGAGAGAGAAACATCAATCAGCTGCCTCCTGCACACTCACTACTGGGGATGTGCCCACAACCAAAGTACTGTACATGTCCTTGACCAGAATCGAACCTGGGGCCTTTCAGTCCGCAGGCTGATGCTCTATCCACTGAACCAAACCAGTTTCAGCAGTTCTACAGCTTCTTGATAAAGTAATCTCTTTGCATTAATGACCCATATGATTCTATCTATAATTGTGTTCCTTTCTAATCACTTAAAGACATTTTATTTTCAGCTCAGCCGCACAGTGTTAAGACCACAAAAGTGATCTTTCCCAACTAGCCTTTTTCTCCTTTCCCAGTAGGTACTCTATTGATGATCCAAAGGAAGGGTTCTCTTGTTCTCAACCTCTTGGCGAAGTGAAGTAAGGCTTATCAGGAAGAGATGCCTGAATCTACTACATCAGCCTTTGATAATACTCACTAGATGTAAAGACTATCATCAGAATATGGGCAAAGAGAAATCGATTCCAGCTGGGGAAGTGGAAAAAGGCAGAAAAGTATGCTGTTTCACCTGATGAGGATATTAAGCTCTTCACTTTCAAGCTGTAAATTGGCCTTCTCCTGGTTGAGCTGCAACTGAAGCTTTTGGTTCAGGTCAAGAAGGTTCTCATTCTTGCTGTCATCCTGCAAAGACTAGGGAGCCAGGACAGTAGAAACTGAGAGAAGATCTCCCTCATCTTAGGAGGCCTCCCTGTCCTCAGACTGCCCGGTGATTACCTTCATGATAGAATACATCTGCTTTTCCAACTGCCGTATCTGGGCCACATGCTGCCGCACGGCCTCCTGCAAATGTAATATGCTGCTGCGCTGCTCCTCAGGATTGCTAGATATCTCGAGCTGGAACCTGACCCGCTGTTTCTTCTCACTATGCTCCTAAAGGAAAAGAAAGGAAATGAACAAGATTTTCTGACAGACAAGTCTTGAAGTAAACTGAAATAGAGAAATGAAAATAAATGAGGATCTCCTCTGGAAAGCTCCCCTTTACCTATTATCATTATTAGTAGCAAGAGTAAGGGGTAGGCCAATGCAGAAGATCTGGTAATGTATATTTCACAATAAGCCAATCCCATAGGGTAGGGATGGTGGGAGTGGGGAGCAGTTACTGTTCTTAGAGGTATTTAAATGACTGAATAGAGAACTGACCAAGAAAGACAAGTAAACAAGCTCCACATGAGTCTCAGGGGCACTCAGACTATTTCCTAGATTAGTGAAACTTCAACTGCTGCTATTGACTAATAGATGCTGTACCAAACACAAGGCCCTTTTTCAGTCTGAAACATGGCTTTTCTTTTCTTTTTTAATTTTAAATATGTTTTTATTGATTTGGGAGAAGACAGGAGAGAAACATCAATGATAGAATCATTGATTGGCTGCCTCCTGCATGCTCCCTACTGGGGATCAAGCCTGCAACCCTGGCAGGTGCCCTTGACCAGAATCGAAACTGGGACCCTTCTGTTCACAGGCCAACACTCCATCCACTGAGCCAAACTGGCTAGGGTGTTCATGGCTTTTCTTAATGGAATCTAAATAAAGTACAAGGTCTGAGTGTTCCTGTGAAGATAACTGGCATTCTACAAGGGCCCATGCTTACCTTCCGTTTGGGTTCTACATGGAGCAGCAGGTTGTTGACAATATCCAGGATCATGGCATACTGAGCTGGATTGGTGGAGATTTCCAGCTCATGATGGATGAGGGTGAAGGTATCCACAGCCCCTAAGTAATTGTTAGCAGCTAAATAAGAGGCTCAAGTTTCTCCTTAAATATATACCCATGTCCTAAACCATTTGGAACCACTTCTGTTAACCCCATAGAAGGGCCTGGTGAGAAATGCTCATGGGTAGAAACATCTTTGCTTATTTCAAAATAAAAAAATATCCATTCTTCCCAGTTCCCTCCAAGAACACAGGTTATTCTCTCATAGAAGAATTTACAAAATGTAAACCAAAATGAAATGTTAATGTCCAGTACAGAGTAAGACTTTTAATAACACATTGCCTCAAAACCTCAAATAACTGTTTTCATAAGTTCCTTAGTACCCTCCTAAAAGCATTTCCAGCCCTGAATACCTACCTTCATGCTTCTTTAGGAGATCTTCCTTTTCCTGTTTCTCATGAACCTCAGGTGGCTTAATCTGAGTTGCCAGTTCAGGATCAATATCATGGCTGTAACTAATATAGTACATTCGACAGTTGCAGCGTGAAATGATCCGTTGGACTTGCTGGGCTTGTTGTGCCTCAGCTGGTTGGTTCCAATCTGAGAAGAGGTGGAAAAGAGAAGGAGAAAGACATTCTCAACAGAGGTATTGGAAGAGCCCCCCAGCTAGCTATATGTGATGTCTAGGGAACTCCATATACTTGCTTTCAATCTAGCCTAACACAAAATGGTCCTACTACAGTATTAGGAGTAGGTAAGGAAATCAGTACCCTTTGGGATGCATATCTACTCCTAACCACATAATCATATGATGGGGAAGAGAGGAGAGCTGACCTGTGGTGGTGGTAACCATGCCTCCCACTGCCTGCCCGCTCTCCATCAGCTCTTGCACAGAGTCCAGACTGCGTTCCCGGTGCTCCTCGATATTCTTCACCTGAAGACAGAGAGACATGCACCTTTCACTCCTGGGAATCAGTACCTTGTTCTGGCCAACTAGGCTAAGATCTCCATGATATCAAGTAGTTCCACTATGTGGATTTCCACTTCCTGGAATAACTTGAAAGATCTCCCAGTGTAGAAGACATGTTTCTCTCTCTGGACTCTAATCACCCAAATTCTGAATTACATGCACATTTTGCAAGACCCACAGGCCTCAGACCAGAAAAACAAGCTAGGTTAAAATAAAATCATGTCCTACCTCACACCCATTAGGATGGCTAATTATAAAAGTAAATAAAATAAAAATAACAAGTGTTGGCAAGATTGTCCAGAAATTAGAATACTTATGCACCATTGGTGGACATGTAATAGTATAACCACTGTGGAAAACAGTATGGTAGTTCCTCAAAAAATTAAAAATAGAATTCCAATATGATCCAGTAATATACCCAAAAGAATTGAAAGCAGGATCTTGAAGATATATGTATACATTGCTGTTAATCCTCACGCAAAGATACTTTTTCCATTGATTTTCAGGAGTGGAAGGGGGCGGGGGAAAGAAACATAGATTGGCTGCCTCCTATATGCACCCAACTAGGGCCAGGGATTGAACCTGCATGCCAGGTACATGCCCTTGCTTGACTAGGAATCAAACCCAAAACCCTTCGGTGTTCAGGCTGATGCTCGGCTTGAAGGTATAATTGTACACCCATGTCCATAGCAGCATTATTCACAATAGCTAAAAGATGGAAGCAACCCAAGTGTCTATCAGTGGATGAATAAATAAGCAGTATATTGTATTTACGTACAATGGAACAACATTCATCCTTAAAAAGGAAATTCTGACATGCTATAACATGGGTGAATCTTGAGAACAATATACTAAGTGAAATAAACCAGTCACACACACAAAAATACTGTATGACTCCACTTACATGAGGCACTTAAGAGTAGTTAAAATCAAAGGTCAATGGGGAGGGGAGGGGACATATGCAATACTTTAAAAAATAAGGGGGGGAAAAGAGTAGTTAAAATCAGAGACAGAAAGTATAACGGTGGTTGCCAAGGTCTCAGGAAAAGGGAAGGTGAGGAGTTATTAACACATATAGTTTTTTGTTGTTTTTAATCCTCACCTGAGGACATGCTTAGAGAGAGAAAGCTTGGTGGGGAGAAACATTGATGTAAGAGAGAAACATTGATTGATTCCTCCCATATAAGCCCTAATCAGGAATCGAATCCGAAACCCAGGTATGTGTCCGAGAATGAATCAAATGGCAACCTTTTGGTGCACGGTCAAGGTTCAACCAATTGAGCCACTCCAGCCAGGCAATAGGTACTGAGTTTTAGTTTGGAGTTATACAATAGTAAGATATGTACACAGATAATTTAATTTAAAAAAAAAAAGCATTAAAAAAAAAAAAAGAGTTATAAAGATGGATTGTGGCCCTAACCGGTTTAGCTCAGTGGAGAGAGAATCAGCCTGTGTGGACTTAGAGGTCCCAGGTTCAATTCTGGTCAAGGGCATGTGCCTTGGTTGTGGGCACATGCCCAGTGGGGAATGTGTAGGAGGCAGCTGATTGATGTTTTTCTCTCATCGATGGTTCTAGCTCTGTGTCCCTCTCCCTTCCTCTCTGTATAAAAAAAAATCAATAAAATATATTAAAAAAAAGAAAAAGATGGATTGTGGTAATGGATGTATAACATTTTTCTGGGCTGCAAACATTATACAGCTCCTCTGATGCAGGGAGCAGGATGTCCTAGGGCAGAGGGAGGTAGAGTAGATCACTGAACAATGGGTTGGTTGGAGTTTAGAGGGAGTTAAGAGGTTCAAGCTCTGGCCAAGCGTGCCCAGGCGTTGCACCTATGCCCCAAGTTTCTTGGAAACAGCTGAAATAACTTTTGTAACCTTTGGGTTGTCATTGTAAATGTCCTAACTCCCTCTTGTGGTTTTTGAGTATAAATCTGCTCTAACACCTGTAATCTGCACTGCAGTTCGGCCTTTACCGCGGTAGAGTGCTGCAACTGCAGTCACTGGCCAGTTTATTAAAGGCTCATAAATTTTGATCTCCGTCTCTGGTGGTCGTCTCTTGCGGGTGGCCCCATAACATTATGAATGTATTTAATACCATTGAACTGTACACTTAAAAATGGTTAAGAGCGTAAATTTTATGTTAATGTGTTTTATCACAAATTAAAAAGTTGGAGGGAAAATCAAATCATATCATGAGTAAAATTTTCATCAAAGACTAAATTTCCCACCCACTTTGGTATTCATGTTGTTTTTTTGTTTTGTTTTAAAATATATTTTATTGATTTTTTTTACAGAGAGGAAGAGAGAGGGATAGAAACATCAATGAGAGAGAAACATCAATCAGCTGCCTCCTGCACACCCCCCACCGGGGATGTGCCCGCAACCAATGTACATGCCCTTAACCGGAATCAAACCTGGGACCTTTCAGTCCGCAGGCTGACGCTCTATCCACTGAGCCAAACCAGTTTCGGCGGTATTCATGTTTTTGTGTTCTTGCTGTTTTCTGTCTTCAGACAAATCACGCAGACAATACTGTCATCAGGGAAAGGGACTGAATTATTTTGACTGCCTAGCTGAAGTCAAATTGAATAAGAGAATGAGTGATATAAACCATAAGCAGATCTGTCAAGTCACACAAAAATTATATAGTAAAAGCAAGATCAAAGGTTCTTTCATCTAAGCCAAGGACATGCTAATCTAATACTAATATCACATCCTGAGGGGGAAAAGAAGGGTTCACTTGCAAAAGAAGGCATACCTAAAAGCAGCAGAGGCTCAGAAAATGCCAGGTTGGTAGAGCTTGCATAGCTCATGCTGTGTGAATAGTTAACACCTTCTGTGCCTATCTTCTGAGACTACTGGTAAAGAGCACTGCTTGCCTGAACTACAGCGGTAATATATTGGCATGTCCTCTCATATTATCAATAACCTAACTACTTGGCTTGACATCTGATGAAATGCTTACTACTTTTTATAATTACACTAGATGTTTCCTGGATTGAGCCCTAAGGTCACTGGACGAAGAAGCAGTAGCCAGGGAGAAAGAAGGGATAAGCTTTAACCCCAATGACTAGAATATCCAAAGATGTTATCACATTGGTCCTTATCAGACAGAGCTAGATCTAGTAACTCACTGGGTGTACCACACCCAGCACAACGTGAACACTTAACCCCGTTAAATAAGTAACGACAATGCAGAATATTGACTAGGTACATCTCACAACCATTAGATTTCCGAATAATAATAATATATCCTAGAAATTATAGTACAAATTTTACCAAGAAGCTAAGAAGAAAATTTACAGCCACTGCTCACAATCTCACCATCTAACAAAAAGATTATCTTACACATACCTCCCCAGACATACTGACTAAAAAAATACTATTTTCCACTGAATAAAGCTTTTTATTTTTCAAAATACTTACTCATTTAATCCTTTCAACAATCTTGTTAAGATGAAATATTAGAATTCCATTTTTCAAATAAAGGTGACTTACTCAAGGCTACTATCATGGCAAAGCTGGCACGAGAACTCTCATAATCTGACTCCTAGACAGTCTTTCTAATCAAACTTATTGCCTTACTTAAAGAACCCCTCAATCATCTTCATTAAGAGTGATCAGAGCTCTAACCAATATGGTTCAGTGGATAGAACGTCAGCCCATGGTCCCTCCCTGGCCCAATTGTGCACCGGTGGGGTCCCTCGGCCTGGCCTGCGCCCTCTTGCAATCCGGGATGCCTCAAAGGATTTCGAAGAGCCACAGGCCAGGCCAAGGGACTCCACCAGTGTACAAAGCCATGTACCGGCCTCTGGAGTGTGAGTGAGTGTGTGTGTGTGTGTGTGTGTGTGTGTGTGTGTAAATAAAGTGATCAGAGAAAAGACATAAAGCTTATCTAAAATTCTGACTTACACTCTAGCTTAGGGGTGTCGAACTCAATCAGAGAAGGGGCCAAAATCTAAAATCCAGCCTAAATCGCGGGCCGAATGGTTTACTGAACAGTCATAAACTGTCATTGTGATGGAAACGCAGCGGAGTGCAGTGATGACAGCGCGGTGCGGGCCACATTGCAAGGCCTGGCGGGACGGATTTGGCCCGCGGGCCTTGTGTTTGACACATATGCTCTAGCTAGTTTGGCTCAGTGAAAGAGCATCGGCCTGAGGAGTGAAGGGTCTTGGGTTTGAATCCGGTAAAGGGAACATGCCTGTGTTGTGGGCTCAGTCCCAAGTAGGGGGCGTGCAGGAGGCAGCCTATCGGTGATTCTCATCATTGATATTTCTATCTCTCTCTTCCTCTCCCTTTCTCTCTAAAAAAATTCCTACTTCTAAAAAAAATAAAATTCTGACTTACTGCCTGTTTTCAAGCTGCCTGATTAGAGTGATATTATTAATGGGGTCAATAAACTTTTCAAAAGTAAATGAAGTTCCAACCCATTTTATTCTAGTGCTGGGCAATGAGAATTTCTCTTGCAATGCAAAGAACAGCATGAGATTTTAAAAAAATAACATAAAAATCTGTGTATTCACAGACACAGACCAGAGCTACAGTTCCTACATTAAGGTGTTATCATTCTTCTGCTAACATGGTAGCAATATGTTCTGTCAAGATTCTTGTAATTATTCTGCTGGAAGGGGCCAATTATGGAAAAAGAGATGTAATGGGCCTTCCCAGCCCTGCTGACTAACCTCTAACCAGAGCTGTCGGCCATCCTGCTCAGTGGGGCTGCTTTCCGTGGTGGCAAAGTACTGCATGCCATCCAGCAGGCAAGTCCAGGATGTCTTTTGCTTCAATGTATCACCATACCAAGCTGGATGATGTTGACACTGCAGCAGCTGGGCTTTAGCAGCAGACACAATGACACAACCTTCTGTCTCTGCTCCACGAAGAACCATCTATACCAGAGACAGAAGCAGAGTCATAGCACCAGAGCCACCAAGAAAGATGAGATTAGTTAGAGAACTGTGCCAATAACTGTAGCTGGGTCTAATTCTGGCCTACTGAGTGAACTCTACTGGCTTTTAGATATCGTAGTGAGTGGTTATCTCTGATACCTACTGGAAGGAATAATTTTTTGGAGTTCTATTTACCCATTCTTATTTAGAGGTAGGGGAAGGTAAACACATGATTATGACCTAACCCAGTGGTTGGCAAACTCATTAGCCAACAGAGCCAAATATCAACAGTACAATTGAAATTTCTTTTGAGAGCCAAATTTTTTAAACTTAAACTACTTCTAACGCCACTTCTTCAAAACTGACTCGCCTCAGTTGTGGTATTCTGTGGAAGAGCCACACTCAAGGGGCCAAAGAGCTACATGTGGCTCTCAAGCCCCAGTTTGCCGACCATGGACCTAACCCGTGTCCAAGTGCTCTGGTAAAAAGATGATACCTGGCAGTTGACCAGCTCAATTAGGCAGTTTCGGTTATATATATCATCCGTCTGGCAGGCAGCAATGCCACACAACTGGTCACTCACACCTGAGTCATCTTCTGTGAACACTACAAACCTATCCGTCTCTTCAATCAGCTTCTGCAACATGTAGGCACCTGGCAGAGAAATAGGAAGCGGGAAAGGTCAGTTTCAAAGGGATAACATCCAAACTGATCTTCCTTCAATTTCTCTAGCTAGGCAAGGGCTAGGACATATTCTCCCTAATCTGCAACTCCAGCCCAGCGCACTCCACCCTTGGCTCCTGAGGGTAAAATAGGGTTGTCATTTCGTTTCCCCCTAACTTTTAATAAAAAGAACAGATTCCCAAGAGAAACTATGTAAAGTGTTAGTATTTTTTTCTCTTAGGCATATCCACCTCTAGATTAGGATCTCCACTGCCCCCCATTTTGCTCCTTTATTTTTTTAAAAAATATATATTTTGTTGAGTTTTTACAGAGAGGAAGAGAGAGGGATAGAGAGTTAGAAACATCGATGAGAGAGAGGCATTGATCAGCTGCCTCTTGCACACCCCCTACTGGGGATTGTCTGAAACCCAGGTACATGCCCTTTATTTTTATCTTATTTTATTTTGTATTTATTTATTTTTAAAAATATATATTTTATGCCGAAACCGGTTTGGCTCAATGGATAGAGCGTCGGCTTGGGGACTGAAGGGACCCGGGTTCGATTCCGGTCAAGGGCATGTACCTTGGTTGCGGGCACATCCCCGGTAGGGGGTGGGCAAGAGGCAGCTGATCGATGACTCTCTCTCATCGATGTTTCTAACTCTCTATCTCTCTCCCTTCCTCTCTGTATAAAATCAATAAAATATATTTATTTATTTATTTATTTATTTAATTGATTTTTTACAGAGAGGAAGGGAGAGGGATAGAGACTTAGAAACATTGATGAGAGAGAATCATCGATCAGCTGCCTCTTGCCCACCCCCTACCGGGGATGTGCCCGCAACCAAGGCACATGCCCTTGACCGGAATCGAACCTGGGACCCTTGAGTTCACAGGCTGACGCTCTATCCACTGAGCCAAACCGGTCAGGACTGCTCCTTTATTTTTAATTTCAAATTATTTGAAATGCTGTTTGTCAACCATTCCTTTCCATGTGAAACCACTCTCTTGCCATCAATGCTATTGTGTTCTAGCCTCTACTTCCCCAGGTCTCCTAAGGTCTATCCTTGGCATGTTCCCATCCCTTTCTTACTCTTTCTTCTAATGAGTTTGTCTGACAGTGTTATGGTTAAAAGCACAGTCTCCAGAATTAGTCTAATCTGCCTCTGTTCAAGATCCCATCTCTGCTAGTTACTTGATGGCGATCCTCAGCAGCTTGCTTTAACCTGTGTTCTCAGTTTCCTTGTCAGTAAAATAACAGAAACTATCTCATAAGGTTGTTGAGAGAATGTAATAGAACATAGAAATGTATCTTGCAGAGTACCTGCCGAACAGTAAGCAACTATTATTATCTCCTTTGCATGAACTCTTAGCTCTATCCTATAATTCCCAAGTCTATCTCTAGCCCTAAGCTTTTAAACCCTCATTTCCAGCTGTTAGCTAAACATTACTTTGATGTACTACTTGCACCAAAAACTCAATATGTCTAAATCAACAACTCTATACTTTCCCAAACCTGTTTAGCCTCATTTTTGCTTTCCTCCTGTTTTAACTCCTTTTTCCAAACAGTTTCCAAATCTCTTCTCTATCTATCCCCTCATCTTCATTCCCATGGCCTCTACCTAGTTCAGGCCCTTGTTGCCTTTGGTTGAGACACCACAATAATTTCCTAATTTGTCACTCCACCTCCAGTTCCTTCTTTTCCAGTCCTCCTCTGCACCATTGCCATATTTATCTTCCTAAAAGTAAAAATCTAATGATGACACATCTTTATTAAAAAGCCTTCAGTAGTTCACCATTGTCTACTAAATAAGGACCCAAAACTCCTTAGCCTTGCATGAAATGGCTTTGATAATCTACCTCCAGCTTTCCTTAACAGCATCTTCTCATTCCTCTTTTAGCTACTCTCTAGCCAACC